GTTAACAGCTAAATGTTTTCTCTGTTTTTGTAGTGGTTATAAAGGTTTGTTTTAACCTATTTTTTGTGGATGTTTCATGTGACTCTTAACTTTTATTTCGTATATGCCAGTGTTGCACATGCTCTATAAAAAGCCTATGTACGCCCTGCAGTTTTCCAGGGGACACCTATGGATACTAGCATCCTTGATTTGGACCCTGCATCAGAGTGTGTAGCTGCTGCATCTTCACCTCATGAGTTCCTTCATGGTCCCTGTCATTACAGCCCCCACACGTCCTTCCACTGCCCCCTTGGAGCAGCTGGCCATCAGAGAAGGAGGTCTCTGGGTGCTCCTGGGTGATTTACCTCTGTGTGGGGGGTCCATTACTCCATCCCATGTTAGCCTAATTGAAAGGGAAACGTCAGGGTGATCTTGCTGTAACAACATGTCCACCTCCCGCAGCCACGGGCCCCCACTGCGCTGAGACGCTACTGCAATAAAGCAGAAATAAAATGGATTGCAGGGGTGGAGGGTGGATGCGGGGGGTGTACAGTATGTTAGAAGCCCCCCCCCCCCCCCCCCCTCTTTGGCTCATTGACTCTCTGGGAGTGTTGGGGGGAAGAAAGAAGAGAGCTGTGTTTTCGCTGCAACAAAGATTAGAGACCGCAGTCTGCCAGCGATTTGTTTCTCCCTTCATTCTTTGCTTTTCAGCTGTCCTGATTCCTGCATCGTCTGTGCTCCTCTGTGTTATGTATGATCTCCGTGCGGGTGTTTCCGTGCCTTCATCCTCTCTTTCCTGCCGGCTATTTATCATAGTTGATGGCCTCTTGAGGATGACGAGGAGAGGGGTGCAGCCTCGGTGGATTCGACTGTAGTTCTTCTCCATCTCTCTCTCTCTCTCTCTTTGTTTTTCTCTCTGTGTTCTCTCTGTCAAGACTCAGACTGTGCTCCCTCTGGATCACAGTGGAATTAGGACAATGCAGAAAGTGTCTGGAACACAGTTAAAACAGCATACGAGGAGAACAGTTGTTATTTAAGTTGAAGCCACCTCTGATACAACAGCAGCTCTTCTTTGAAAACATCTCATTGCTCTGTCATTATTGATGGGATTATTTCATATAATATGTCAAACACAGATTTTATTCCACAGACGTACTCAAGTCTAACACAGATTGTGATTGTAAAACAACATGTCATACTCCACTGTAAAGACCTTCTTAGTCCCTTGTATTTTTTATCAAGAAAGTTGAATCAGATCTATATAATTTAACTTGCCACCACAGCACAATTGAGAATAAATAAAGTAAAACATATCAGACAGGAGACAGAGAATATGCCTTCAAGAAGAAAACAGAATCCACCTCAAATACAACAATTTAATTCCTCAATTAGGGCCAAACCTTTTCAAAAAGGGTAATAATGGGAATAGAAATACGATATCAAAATATTAAATATTTTGTAGTAATGTTTGGACTTTCAGCTAATTTCAGTGGGATCTGGTGAGTAGGTGCTGACATCAATCGCTTATGTAGTCTTTTTCAAGTTTGAAGTAACTTTTTATGAGTATGTTTGGAGATTGTTTCTAATAGTCTGACATTTGCCTCTGGGATTTAAGGACCTCTACAGACAGTATTATTGATGATGAATGTAGCTTGATGCACTTAGAAACTGTGCCGTTTCTTTTGCTCAAAAACTCTGTGGCACAGAGATCCCAAAGCTCCGGAAACAGAGCGGCTGGATGTGTTAATCTGCGCAGAGTTTGTCAGCTCCTCACAGTAATGTGAGGCCGGTGGTCAGCAGAAATAAATTCTCGGAGGGAGCAAATGAGATTAAAGATGAAGTTTGATCCGAGCCGAGCCATTCCACATCAAAGCCGTTTCACAATGCGACCGTGAAGTAAATAAATTCAATTTACATCCCCGAGCTACAGGGGACCATTAAACATATCAAATTATTGCTCTTCCCCTGTGATCTACACTGTGGCCATGAGGCCTGATTAGATACAGTCGAGGCCAACGTTTCCTCTCGGCGGTTGTAAAGAGAGCTGGCTCAGGGCCAGTTTGTGGCCCCGTGTAGTTTAACAGCAGAGGAAGCAGTAACACATCCTGCTGAAGAACAACTGGTTACGACCCAGAGTCTAAAATTCTAGCAGCAATATCATTTCTTAAATATAAAGCTGCATAAGAAAACAAAGATATGTTAGTAAGTAGTTCAGTGTATCACACAGTGTGTAATATGTTTTTTTTAATTAAGCTCTAAATTCCACCACCAGGGGGCTCTCAATCAAAACAACAGCAAAGCCTGTCTTTGAACTTTTTTAATCAAATAATTGTCTTGATTTGCATTCTTCGGCAGCATTCACCCACTAACCCAGTGACGCAGATTAAATCGACTGGTGTTCATGTCACTAGCTTAAGGTCAAAGGTCAAATGCATTAAAGTGTTTCAGCCGATTTTTTGTGTCATGATTTTGATGTTAGACTGAGTGTATGGAAGCAATTAAGTCGCCAAGAAATTAGTAAATGAAAACATTTTTAAGAATGAAGTGAACTGTCTTTGGCCATGAAGCTTCAGCTGAGAGCTGAAGCTCACAGCCTGCAACATGTTCATGACCCACACGATCCAAAAGTTCTGTGAGGAATCGATCACTGCATCTAACGCAACATCAACACCGTCATGAAGTTTCTTCTTATGATCCTTATGTCTCTGACTGAGCTGTTTACATCCAATAAAGACGTACCTCAGGAATACGAGGGCTGATGAAAGAATGATTTGAATTACTCTGATGAACATCCATTAACTTGTGATTGAGGCAGACACTGTTGAAATCAGTTGCCTGTTTAATGCTGACATTTTTGACATGTTCTGGACAATCTTCAGTGTAGTTTGTAATAATAAATGATGTTGCTGCTCATATAGAGCTGGTTGAAGCTTTTGAGGAGCACCGGCTGGCCTTTACAAACACATGAGGGTAATCAGACTCGCTCCTTGATGATGGGAATGAAACATTGAATCGAATCTCTCTCTTTCAAGGGACAAAACTTTTGCTTTATTTTCTGAGATCACCAGAAATAGTTTTGCCCTCCTTTACTACTGTCAAAATTGAAGTTCAGCAAGCTTCAATTTCCTCCATATCAGTTCGGAAATGGCATTTTTCTAACATTTCTACCCACTTTTACATCTGTCATTTCACATTTTCTGTCCTTTACTAGTTGATAGCTTTCTTCTCATTTGTCTTTAAATGTTAAATACCAACTATTTCCCCGCTGAGTTTCTGGCACGATGCAAAACTTACCAGGACTACTGAGAGAAGGTGCCCTTCTCTTTTCAGTCTTTCCATCACTTTTCAAAAGGAGCACTTTTAACGTCACAAGCGTCTGATTGTCAATAATAGTATGTAAGCATCAGTTTCTCTGTAACCTTTTATTATTTGAGGACTAGACTTTAGCTGAACGACTCCCTGGGTGTCAAGATGTACCTTCTAGTATGAGAGGGAAAAATAAAAGCAGTGCTTATCAATAACCTTTCATTAAAACCCAAACATGATGAATGGCTATGTGGTGTGAGAAGACAAGACAAAGTGATGTAGCATACAGCCGGCATTTTAGCGCTTGCAGGCAATTTGTCTCAGTGAAAGCTCCCTGTTAGCAGCAGTGTTATGATGCCACAATGCTGCCATGATGGCTCTTTTATCTCTCCTCTAGTCTCCAGTGAGCCTGCGAGTTCCAGACTTTTTGGTTGGCCTGGATATTAATAGCTACGGCTGACCATGGTAATGACTAGCTGAGGGAGTGATAGCACACAGCTCCAGCTCCAGCAGCTAGTCCGGGATGTTGCCCTAATGAGAAATACTTTAAAGACCAACTCTGCTCCTCTTATCTTTATTTCTGTGAGACACTCCGGAGCTGGCAAACATCCCTCAGCACCAACAGAGTGTTGGAAGTGGCCGAGGTCGTAGGTTGTCATTTATTGGCCTGTTAAATCTCCGTACATATTTCCTCGCCTGAGGCTGCAGCGCTGTCCCCAACAGACAGAATCAATAGCCGCTCCACTGCCAAGCCATCCGAGGGGCTCACAATAAAAAACCAGGACAATTACAACGAGATGGATCAGAGTCTTTAGCAGAAATATATTATTAATATGTTTGGAGCAAAGCCAGCGGGGCCCAAGGAAGACAAATCAGAGGCAATAAAACAGACGGTTAGTTAACTGGTCACCTGAGAGCCAGCCTGAACATGATCCTCACACACCAGCATCGACGTGTGTGTGTGTTGGAAATACTGTCTTACCGATCCAGCAGGTGGTAACCACAGGGGGACGTTGGTACACTAAATGTCACTGTGTTAGTTGCTGGACACTTGTTGTTTTATTTACCTCTTTTTAAACAGACTGCAGGTTGATTAAAAATTCATTTGGCAACGACAGTTTGGAAAGTCAGCGCTTTTTGGGATTTCTGTCAGATTTACAAAAACTAAAATCCTTTCAATACAGCGTGAGATTTTATACGACAGAGTGGTTAAAGAAAAGAGTTGGATGTTTAAACCTATCTATATAAACAGACTGCAAAAAGTAAAATCAAAGACCCATCCACATTCTCTGTAAATACTGTAATTCTCTACCACTTGTTATAGCAACCTGACCTGTAACAGTATTAATCTCAGCACCTTTGCATGCTCCATTGCACTACTGTCTCTTTTCTACAAGTGTTGCTGCTGTGTATTATATGTCAAAACCAAGCAGCGAACCAAGCCAATGCGAAAGTGCAAAATCCTGCAGTTTCACGAGTGTCCACTTGAGGCCGGCCCCAAGATACCAGCTCACATACCCGTTCAAAAACATTTCTGTTTTTACTGCAGAAATTAATTTGTTTTCAGCCAGGTTTTTAAAAACATGAAATTGGTCTGATTAGCTCATGTCTGGATCGACAAACACTCTACGGGGGGTGAATTTTTTTGAGAAGTCGTCCGTTGGATTTTATATCTCTGACTCTTTGATCTTCTTCTTTTCTCCGTTTCTCTGCAGCCTTCGTGCTGAGCTGTGTTTTCCCCCAGCGTCCTCTCTACGGTGACGTATCGGTGAGCAGTCTGCACTCTGGAGGGGAGGCCTTCTTCTCCTGTCTGACCGGCTACCAGCTGCAAGGACCCAGTGTGCTGACCTGCCGCAATGCTAGCACCCCCTACTGGAGTGGCAAGGAACCACACTGCCTGGGTAATTGTTTCAATTATATTCTATCCCCATGAAGAGGAAGAGGAGAAGGAAAAAGAGGAGAAGTAGGAATAAGAGAAAGAGAATAAAGCGTCAGAGGAAGAAGAGAAAGAGAGAGAGGAGAAGGATGAAGAGGAGCATGGTAACACAAAGGTGTCATCTTCAGTATTGAGAATCAAAATAATTTGTTTCCCTGTTACATATGTCCTCAAATTTATGATACAAATAAAAATGCAGGCATAGAGTGATGGTGTTTTTATATTGAACATATATCATAAGTAAAGTAGAAAAGTGTTTAACATTATGAACAGCCGTTTGCAGTTTGCAAAATAAAGATTTATAGTCTTGGTGTTTGTGAAGTTTTTAATCAAAGGTATCGTTTTTAGAAGAGTAGTTCTGATGTAGCGCTTGCTTTTGCCAGTGCTGTAAGATGTGATGTACTTTGTGTGTGTGTGTTTTTGTTGTGTGTGGAGTTTTGTCTAACATGTCCTTAGTTTCAGGAACTGTATTTATGCAACAGTGAAAGACTGTGATTTCTCTAACAGTTAGTAGTAATGCTGTTTAACACCAAAAAACAAGATAAATCCCTTAAATTTGTAAATCTACTTGGCATTAATCAAAACTCTGATTCTGAAATGTGATAAGATCAATCTTAGTTGGGGGTTTACTGGTGAATATCAGAGCGAGTGTTTACTGTGCCTCGCCCGTCTTCTTCCAGCGTTTCAAACACTTTTCAAACACACGCGTTTCAAAAATCTCCGACGTTCAGCTCTCTTTTTCCTAGGACTTGCTGCCGAGAGTTATCTATTGGACCTTCTGCTCCTTGTGCATGACAGGCACGGGGGAGAAGAAAGACCAGTGCTCTCCCACAGGAGTGTGACGTTGACAAATGTTTATTTTTTTCTCTTTCTTTGCTCCGATGAGGTTGGCTGATGAATAATAAGTGACCTTTTTACTCCTGACCTCTCCAAATCGACTCGGATTCACAGCACACGGAACGTTTCTCTGAAAGCTATTTCAAAGGGTGTTTATGGGGCTGCGCTTCCGTATCTCTGCCATCTTGATTGTGTGTGTCTGTGTGTGTGTTTGTGTGTGTGTGTGTGTCTAAGTGTGTGTGTTGGTATGTGTGTGTGTGTGTGTTTGTGTGTGTGTGTGTGTCTGAGCATAAAGCAGGTGTATGGAGGTGTGATTACTGAAGGCTGGGCAGGATGCCACTGGGTTTACTCTTCCTGCTCTGCTTTAATTAAGCTTTGTCTGCATGAGTAACCTTGACCTGATCAGCTGGGAAAACACACACACACACACACACACACACACACACACACACGCATGCACATCTTCCTTGATGAATTTTCTGTTTGTGTTGGCAAATCTGATTTTATCTTAAACAATAATTTCTTTCTTACCTTATTTTCTCGGTCCCCTCCGTTCTCTTGAATTTAAACTCAAGTTGATGGAAAACAGATAAAACAGGTCAATTTAAAGCGTCAGCTAAGACAAAATATAAACATATTTTCTCACCTTCAACATCAAACCCACCACTTGAAAAACCTCCAATAAAAAATAATCATTGGTTAAGAATTGCTGCTTCGTCTGCGGCGGGGAAAATAAACGCAGCAACATTAGACTGCATTACAAGCTGTGAAAATAATCATTTATCTTAAGGAGATGACTCACAAGAACAAGAACATTGTTGACCGTGTGTTTAATTCTGGCTTTATAGTTTGCAAATGAATTGTCGATGTGATTCTATTGGACATTGTTTTATTTCAGTGCATTTTGAGTGTAAAAAAATCTGCATTTCTCGATTTCATCTTCCCTCTCTCTTCTCTTCCTCTCTCTTTCTCTCTCTCTCTCCCAGCCGCCTGTGGAGGTTTGATGAGGAACATCACAGTCGGTCGGATCGTCTCTCCGGGGTTTCCCAGCAACTACAGCAACAACCTGACGTGCCACTGGCTACTGGAGGCCCCCGAGGGCCAGAAACTGCACGTCCACTTTGAGAAGGTTGCACTGGCTGAGGATGACGATCGGTGAGCAGGATGTTCAACTTTTTTATGAAGATTGTCTGTCGTTAGGAATATAAAATCAAATGACTGTGTTTGCAGTGAAGTTGTGTTTTCTTTGATTTATGATGATTTCCACTGTTAGCGTTCAAGTATCAGACAGCAAGGAAGTGGATTCCCCAATCAAGATCATTTAACAACAAGTCCCGGATACTTTTGGGGCAGCATGAAATATTTAACAGCCCCACCTCTTCACCTTCTGTCTCAATCGCAGTCTCTCTTGTTGAACATGAAAATGGTCCATATTGATGATGTTAGATAATGCCAGAACATGTGAGCTACTGATAGATCAGTGTAAGTGCAGTCTCCTGCTTCATTCTCTGTTAGCAGTGATATATCACCTTCCTCTCCTCTCGTGCACGTTCCTTCACTTATGTGCAATCATCGGGCCTCTCATTCTTCGTACCCTCGGCTTTGTCCCTGTGAGAACATTATTTCTGAGGGCTCTGCAGGGTAACAACTGGCTGTCAACGCGCTGACAGTACAGTGTCATTTTAGCAGCATGGGGCTCTCATTACAGAGGGCTGAAAGAAGGAGCCACAGGGGGGAAATTAGCTGAATAATCCATTTTGTATAGCAGCCAGTAGCTGCTCTGGGCTGCTCTTATTCTCCGGCTACAAATAAAGAGCTCACGGATATAAAGAGACATCTGGACGGCTGTGAGGAAACTGAGAGATCACAAACAAGAGGAGACTTGGCTCGGGTGTAAAAGGAAGTGGAAGAACAAGAATGTCTTGCAAGCAGCCATCTGCTTTTTTGGTCACTTGATCATTTGATTTTGAGGACTTCTAATGTCGTTCCAATGCTTGATGAAATAAACATCACCCAAAAAAAAAAACCTTAAATGGATTTCTGGCTCCATCCATAGATGCAAAGTTGAACATTTATAACATTTGATATTTTATTTTATATTCATATTCAGATCTTTATCTTAGTTATACATATTTGCTAACTGGGCAGTTTTTGCAAACTCTGCATGTTTGCAACTATCAAGAGAAATAGTGTTAGCAAGTTGTTCAATTTGTCCCATATCAGCTACACAGACAGCAAATTCTGTGGCATATGTTCCAAATTAATCAATGTTTAATAATACATATTAAAGCGATGTCAAGGTTTTCAGGTAGATACTGTATGTTTATTAGCAAATATATACAGAGGACCAAAGTAGATGGGCATCCATATAGGTATTATATTTACATGAGAAAACAACCTGAGATAAGTCGTTACCATGGGAACACAAATCATTTCAGGTTGTTTTTTGAGATCTTAATTTGTTTATCTGGATATCTTCATTCAACAAAAGTTTTTTCTGTGATGCATGACAGATCTCAACGTATTTATCTCATTTTCTCGAGTTAACAACACTGCATGGTTTTTCTGGTATAATGAGTAACTTCTGTTTTTTTTTTAAATTAGATCTCAACTTCTTTATCAAGCTATTATGAATTAACAGCACTGATTTTCCCCTGATAATTAGTAAAAAAAAAAAAATAGTTTTCCCGGGATAATAAGTGACTTTTGGTTGTTGTTTTTCAAGCTCTAAATTTATTTATCTCATTCTCTCGGGATTACCAACCTTGTTCAAATAAAACAAAACATTAGGTTGATCAATGTGAGAGGTCAGACATGTTACCATTTCCCACAGATAATTAGGTAGGTTAAGTCTAATTTCATGTCGTTGTTTTGCAACTCTGTGTATATTAGATAAAGAAGTAGAGATCTTGATTACTTGTTCTCCTTATTGTTTATACTTATTTGCATAACTAAAATTAAATTATTTGAAAAAGGACCACATAACTAGAATGCAGTAGAATACCAATTTTATAAAAATAAATCTAACACTAATTTTATTCTTTATGAAAATTACTTTTAACACCATTAAAGAGAAATAAACCCACAAGAAAAACATTCTAACCTCCATCTGAGTTCAGTAAGTGTGAACAGAAGCATAAAAAATAAATGTAAATATAGATTTTATGTTGACATCAAGGCTCTGCTGCGCTCTGTTACTCTCTCTCCGGCTACCTGAGCAGAATAATTTAAGTGATCAAAGGCAGAGCGAGTAGGGATCAGTGCACAGCACCATGGGAGAGAGCACGAGGCAGCAGAGCCACAGGTGGAGGAGGCTGCTGTGACATGTAGAGGATCAACACGGAGTCTGACTGTTTAAAAAGACCTCCAACCCGGGACACGAAGCATCAAAGGGGTCACGTTTGTCTTACAGGCTTCTTTCCACACGACAGCCGAGCTTCACCCCAGGAGGCCATGTTCCTCCTTTTAGATATCACACTCGTAGACTGTATTAAACATGGACATAGCCTCAGTGATGTCACCCATTTGGTTCTAAAGCACAGTTTTGAAACCCAACTATGGCAGTCGCCAGATTGAAAATGCTGTCTCAACCAAGCTTTCAGTCAAACTAACATTGAAGTCCATAAGGCTAAATCAGTATAGGTCCTTTATAGCCAGTGGAAACTTAGATCAACAATGTCCTTCTCACTGTTAAATGTCTGTATTTTTTTTTTTTTTTTTTACAGTTATCATTTAAAAAAGCTTTAGGAGTATGTTTTAATATAAATTCAATATATATATATATATTTTAGTTTCTGAAAGTGTTCCTAATTTAGGATTTTAGTTCAGTGCAAATAATTTGAACATAATTAATTCAGCCGCTCTCTCCACCCTGACCTTCACTGACAGTGGAGCTCTGGTCTTAAAACAACCTGTGCCATCGTTGTGAGCAGAGCCGGAGCAATGTCTAAGAAAATGTGATCGCCCATACTTCAAAAGGTCAAAGAAGCAAAAAGAGCTGCTTTTAGACTGTTGGTTAAAGTGTTTAGTTTAATTTCACTCAGATTTTTGTGGAAGCTTAACAAGACTCTCAACTTTGAAATCAATTAATTCATTTTGACTATAAGAGTAGAAAAAGTAGCTCGGTACCGGGTTCGTTTTAAAGACTGAGTCTTCTCTTCCAGATTGCTGATAAAGAACGGTAACAGCATCGATGCAGCTGCTCTGTACGATTCATACGAGGTGGAGTATCTCCCCAACGAAGGTCTGCTCAGCTCCTCCAAACATCTTTTCATCGAGCTGACCACAGACGCTGCAGGAACATCCACCGGCATGGCCATCAGGTACCAAGGTAAGCACCACGGCTACGGCTAACTGAAGGCTGTGCACATCTGAAAGTAAGAAACTTCATGTAAAAGATGTAAGTTCTTTAATTGCTCGAGGCCAACAGCTCAGGAACAGTCAGAAACGTCTGGCCTGCTGTAGATTCTCAGTGAATTATCCAGTTAAAGATATAATGAATAGGACCTTCAATAGCAGCTCAAATGCTAACTGCAGAGTGAATGGCTCACTGGTGAATGGGGGTCAAGAGTTCTAGCTGGGAAATTCAGGTAATGGAGGCCGACAGGACGACCTAAAGTGCAGCACAAAATTAATGAAAGCAGAGAGAAGATTAAAATGATTTCAAAAGGTGAAAAGAAAAAGTAAATATATGTTGGAGGAAGAGATCTGAAGATTGTGAGAAAAGTTTTTTTAGAGGTTCTTCAGGTTTCCAGAAGGTTGAACAGATTTGTAAATGTAGCTCTTCTGTTGCAGTCTCCTCTCATGGATCAGACTTTAACTTGATTCCTAAGAGGATTAGTTTAAATAAAAGGAGCAATCTGTGAGATATCTACTGAATTAAATCATATAATGACCTTGCTATGTCATCAGACATTTAGGAAACATGCTATGTTGAAGAGCTGGCTTCTCTGACAATAATACAGCAGCCAGTATGTCCTCCTTCTAACTTTAGATTCTGGTCCTGAATGCTCTGGATTTGTTTGAACCAGAGAAGATCGGCGGCTTTTTGGACGCCCCTTTTGCCAGGCAAACCAACAGGTGTTGCAGCAACAGGTTCAGATAGAACTGATTCTACCCAACATTAAAAGCCTTATTTTTCTAAAAAGCTCCACGATCGGAAATGTTTGAAAATGGAGAAAGGTTAGAGCACAGACAGGTTTCAAGTCTGATGCAGAGCTGGCTAAACACCGAAGCTCTTCTATGTCTGTGAGATGTCAACTTCACAGCAAACTTTATGTCAATTACAAGATTTTGTTTAACTGCTCTATCTCTTTATTTCTACATATATCTTGATATAATTTTTGATCTTTCAAGTTCTTGCTTGGACTGTGAAAAGTAGTTGAACATCATGCTGTGTTGAAGAAGACTTGAAACTAAAGATTGGGAGCACAAAATCGTTAAGAAAAAAAGTTTTAATCAAGTGAGAAGTTGAATTCTATTTTTAGAGATTAAAAAAATACAACTTCTTTTTGTGTCCAGTGGTGTAGAGGAAATGCAGTATAATATCACTAATGTACAAAAAAGCATCTTCATATTTCAGACCCAGAGGCTACCTGCACTTCTTTGGATACATACACTCTAGTTTTTAAAATGATCATGGACATATATAATGTACCTTTTTCTTTCTTTCTTTCATCTGTTGTATTAGCAGCTATTTAATGGATGCACTCAATGCATTCTTACATTAAAGCTACTCTAAACTTTCTTCCTCTTGTTGCTTTGAAATAAGAATCAAGGACAAGTACACTACATGGACTCACAGTTTCCTAACAAACCCATATATAAGAGCATCTATATGATGCACTTTACCGTCAATTCAAAGTAACCCAGTTTCAGAGAGCAGGGATTCATCTCATAGTCGGGCTGAGATGTCACTTAGCTCCTCTTTTCTCATGTCCTCACATTTGTCTCAGGGGCTTGTCTCTGGTCCTCGAGGACCACGAGGAAACACAATCAGTGTAATCTGCTTAGGTCTCCGCTTCACTGCCGCCAATGGGATTAAGTCCAAAGGGAGCGGCGGACCTCATTACGACCATTAACAGAATATAACGCTCCTCAGCTCGCCGCCAACAGATGTGATGCTTCCTCCTTTATCCTGACACACCATTCCCACCGGCTGATCTCATCCATGCAACATTTTTAACTGCCACTCCATCTTCAACAATGGGTCCATTAGGAACAATTAATGGGTTCTGAAATTCATCGTAAAGGTTATATTCATTGAGGCTGGTCTTATAAAAGTTAGTAATTGGAGCTAATGTATTCTGGACACATTCAGAAATATATCCCTCTCACGTAAAGTACATGTTATACACCTTTATTAATAGTATTTAAAATATCTATATACTGTCTGCTTTTTAACAAAGTTATAAGAGAGAAATAATATCTAATCTGGGATATTTAAACGTGTGATCAAATTTTGAACTGGGGAAAAATTGTTTGAATGAGTGGTATGATAGACAATGTTCTGGCCCTCGTTTTAATCGTCATCAGTGACTATTCAAACTTCCAGTTTTTCACTATTGCAAAGAGCTGAGCTGAGTTTTAGGCCTCTTGTCAAAGAGTTACATCGCTCCTGTCTGTCAATCAGGTCAACTATGCGCCCTATTGTGAATTACTCCTATCCTTCATGAAATAAAATGATGACAGGTGAGTTATTAAAAAAACTCACCCCTCTGTACAGTTTGTGTCAATCCAGACATGAGCTTATCAGACCAATTTCGTTTTATGTACCAGGCTGTAAACATGTTAATTTCTTCTGTAAAAACTGGATTTTTTGAATGGGGTGTGTATATTTCTTTTGGGCTCTTGGATCCAGCCTCAAGCGGACCTTCGATGAGCTGCAGGATTTTGCACTTCGACATTGGCTTCATTTTTCAACACAGGAGGTTAACCGCTTGTTTGTAGTGTGTTGTTTAGCTTGGTGCTTCATGTTACTCAAATTATTATTCTTGGCGGTGGACAAAGTTTTCCTTCCTGCACATAGTCTACAACTCACTGCAATATTTTTATCCTTTACCAGGCAGGGAGGGACAAAAGTCAGTATTTCCAAGACAGAAAGCTCACATCTGAATGATCACTGTCCTGTGTGTGTTTACTGTACCCAACATTATGTGTCCCAGAATGCAACTGTGCTGACTTACCTGTTACCTTGCCTGCTGGATCGATGTCAATAAACCTTAACCTTGTGTTGTTGTCGGCTATTTGACATGAAGTAACGAGTGATTTTAAATCTCTGTAATTGTAACAGTGTTATTGAATTTGTCTTTGCACCTCAGCCTTTGCAGCGGGCCACTGCTATGAACCCTTCGTAAAGTACGGGAACCTGACGAGCAGCGACATCACCTGGGCGGTGGGAGCTGTGGTTGAGTTCACCTGTGACCCCGGCTACACTCTGGAACAAGGATCTGTCACCATCGAGTGCATGGACCCCAACAACCCACAGTGGAACGAAACAGAGCCCGCGTGCAGAGGTCTGTATGTCTGAGAGGAAGTGACTCATTTTGTGTTTCACTACGACGTCTTTGTACTTATTTTATGAGAGATTACAGCAAAGGACGACTTTCCATCAGGATGAGATACTCATTTAAACAAAGCAAATATCGCAGAGTCAAAAAAGTGCTGGAATGGATGAGGTTTCCTAGAGTTGTAAATAATGAAAGACACTAGTTTGGACGCCAAAGAATGCCTGTAACCAAAAGTGAGTTTTATTTAATAGCATTAAAAGGAGATTTTTTTTTTTTTTAAATGGATTTGTTTAATCTGTCAGGTAAAGGAAGGGACATCAAGTCACGTTTAGTTTATTTGTATAGAACGTTTAAACTGCCTCAGCTGACCAAAGATGAGGCATAAAAGATCCCAGAATAGCATTGAATTTTTAATCAAATATTAGTTCTGTTTAGCTCAGACTAGCTTAGACTTGGCAGAAATGATACTTGGACAACTTGCAAAGTAATCATCTTTGCCTGTATTTAAATCAATACGATAAGTGTAACTGTTTGCAGCTGACTGATTCTTGGAATTTTATTCAGAAATAATTACACGATTTTCCCCAGAACTGTCCCTCTTTGGATTGCATATTTTTTGGTGATTCAAATGTTATCTCATTAGTGCAAAATTATTAAGTTGGCTTCATTTCTAAAATGGAAAAAAATAATAAACTCAGGAGAAAACATGTTTGTATATTTTGCAAAGTAAATATTGAAGAAATGTTTTCTTTGAATCAGCCCTCTAACTTGAGAGCTATAGCTGTGATTATGATTGGTCTCGGTCAAAATGTTAAATAATGTTACTTGAGACTGTTTGGGTTGTGCAAAAACCATTATGGTGTTCTTATCTCTTTCCCTGGTTATGTTGTGTTTTATGCAGATCATGTGCAATTTGTTGTATCTTGTTTGTGTCTTTCATTGGTATGTGCTTGTCTGTTACCACTGAAGTAGTCAGTGCCTGATCATACTCATGGTTGTGTGTGTGTGTGTTCCAGCGGTGTGCAGCGGTGAGATCACAGACTCAGCTGGAGTGGTTCTGTCTCCTAACTGGCCTGAAGCGTACGACAAAGGACAGGACTGCATCTGGGGAATCCACGTGGAGGAGGACAAGAGGATCATGCTGGACATTCAAGTGTAAGATCCCTCCTCGTTAACCTTTGATGAGCATGAAAACAACATTTACACAAACCCGTTTTTTCTCTGGACTCTCTGAATCGAATCATCAGGAAACCGTCTTTATCTCCCGCGCTTGTACATTTAACAGTCGACCCCCCCCCCCCCCCCCCCCCACCCCCACCACCCCATCCCGACTTCAAACAGTGACACAAAAAACGTTTTCAGATTACAAAGCGCTCCCTCACCATGACGGGTAAAACACATTAAAAACACAACGTGCTGCTAATGAAAGAGCGCTCGGCTTGTGAATGAGATGCGTAAGTGCCACGCAGACAAAGGTTAATTAGGTGCAGCCGAGAAAACTAATTATATTAGGGAGGGTTTGTTTGGAAGCCCCCCCCCCCCCCCCTCCCCTGTACTGTCACTGCTGTGTGGAGTCGAGGGTGCGAGTGTACGGGATGTGAGTGTGTGTTTCCTGTGATTGTGGTGCCAAGGTGAACACACAACACTACACACCGCCGCCGTGTCACAGCCCGATAAGTCAGTCAGCCGCAGAAAATCACTCGCCATTTGCAAGCAAATTAAGAAAAGCTCATTAGCATACGTTGCATCTTTAGCTCTGTTATTTTTTTCCCCTCTCTCGTTTTGTCTCCGAGCAGCACCTGAGCTCTCGTTGTGCTTTAAGAAGCAGTGATTAATGGCCTCCTTTGGCTTTCAAAGAAAGTGTGTCAACATAAGTAATTGCTGCTGTTTTTAAATTACGCAGGTGGTTCAGGAGAGGTGAAGATGCAATGAAAATATTTAGACAATACAACACCCTCAAACTTGTGGAAATTACACGTTATCAAATGAATCACTCAGTGACAGGTTCAATATGAGTTTCATAAAAGCTACGGATAAAGTTGTTTCCATGAATATGAAGACTGTACATCACTCTTTTTATCGTGTTGATGGAGACAGGACAATAGTACTTTTACTATTGAAACCATTTAATGTTTTTAGAGGTTTTAATCGCTGGGTCTGGTTGTCTTGGAGAGGAGGTGACCTCTCAGTTCGTTTTTAAGGATCATTTAGCGCTACATAACACCCTGTGTCAAGCTTAGAAAGCTCTGCAGAAACACAGATTTTAGCTGCTGAGTCTGTGTTTTCACTTGATTAATCAGCAGGTTAGTTTGTGTCGGAGAGGACAAGAACGTTGTGGATAATTTAAGCTCCAAGTATAAACCTTCAGAACAATAACCGCTGACGGTTCCTTTTGAGACTCTGTAAAGTTTGCAGCCTGCCATGCTGTTGCTCCTGCAATCAGGGGAGTTGTGCATAATAAGGGGCAGGCTGACCAGATTGCAAGTAGCCACATTGTAGGCGTTACCCAGCAGGATCATTTCCTCAGCCTCCGCCTCTTCACCACTTACTAGGTTAACCGAGTTTGGTTGAGACATCGTCAATATGCCAACTGCCTTCATTAGGTTTCAAAAATGCACTTCAGAAACAAATGGGTGACATCACTGATAGTACAGCCAGGTTATATACAGTCTATATAGGAATGACATGCCGTGGGCTTACAGCTTACACTTACAGCCTCTGTACAGGAGGCGCGCAATATGACAACGAGGCTATCCGACGCCTGTATTCTTCTAGTTTACTGTGTGAGCCTGTGTGTGTGTGTGTGTGTGTGTGTGTGTGTGTGTTTGTGTGTAGAGGGATAAAGCTGTGAAAAATCAAAGTAAACTTAAGGTGTCAGCACACTGTGGTCCAGTTTCCCACACCGGGCTCATGGGAATAAAGCAGAAACGTGAATTTCCACAGAGAGAAGCTTCCTGTTGTAGCGCAGCGTCTGCGCTCGGTCTAAGCAGCACACGCCTGCAGGTGTGTGACCACCTTTATGAAGCTTATCAATAGCAGCTGTTCTCTCCGAGCCCTGTGGGCACACAGTGTACAGAGACATATGAGGCCTTTAACAAGGTCCCTGGGTATCAGGCGCTCACACTCCACATTCACACACACACACACACACCTGTGCATACCTGCACGTATCTGCTGCTCCATCTGTGTAATGGCAGCGGGGACATTATCACCAAGTGTATCAAATGACTTTTATAGATGGCCTTCAATGAACGAGGGGGGAGTAAGAGGTGTGATTAAAGTTAAAGAGAGGTGAGTGAAATAGATGAAACCACCGCCTCAGAACGAAATCAAGACCACTGCCTTCAGCTTTGTTCAGAATGTTATGTGTTTTTAAAACAGTGGGAATTAGTCTGCATTGTTAAAGGCACAATACACCTCATGTACATTATAAGAACCCAGTTTGTGATGTTGAAGCTCATTTAGTGATCTTCTTTTACAACATGCTTCATGTCCTACATCTCCCGGAATTCCTTTTTTTGTGTAACTGAAACTGCAAAGGAAAAAAACTTGTAGGGCTATTTAACAAAAAGTTGAGTTTAGACTCCTCTGACTGGAGATTTATGTATTTGAATGTGGAGGAAAAATGATCCCAACAAAGTATTAAGACATTTCATTATAGATTTCTAAAGGACTTGCAGCTCAATCTAGAATTTTTTTTTTTTTCTTATGCTGCAGGAAGTCGTTCTTCCCACTTCAGTGTAGTTACGTTATTTCCATTCGGGAAGTCTGAATGTTGTAACAACAGCAACAAAAAAAAAAAGCATTGATGCTGCGTAGAAACAGGGGCGTGTCTAGAGAGGTGGCATGAGCCCCCCTTGAATCTTATTGGCCACCCCAGGGGCCACTCCAAAATCCTTAACTAGGATTGGCTATATGCCTTGCCAGAGGTGGGACTTTTGGGGTGGGTCAATGTGATCAGTGCAGACAGAAGAGGTAAATAAATGTTCTTCATTCATGTGTGTGCACACAAACTTCAGGCTCACCCCTGCACATGTCAGTTCCCCAGTTAGGCCACCCCAGTCCAAAAAGTGTGGACACGCCTCTGTGCACTAGTAAAGGTGTTAGTATATTATATAAGTTTTAGATTTGTACAGGTCGACAAAACCCCAAGTTTGAACTACATTTTGTAAGACAGAGCAGAAGTCTGTGACAGAATAACGCAGGTTTCATCTCAACGCCTCCAGAATAAAATATTCTGAAAACTCTTTTAAACAAGTCAAACATATTTAAACCTGTTCCCCTCTGTATTTCAGAGCTTTTTAGCAGTGGAAACAACAGGTCTTAAAGGGAATGTGTGAGGGTAAAACACATTGCCAGCTGGTCCCGGGGGTTAGGGCCAAACCCGAAGCCAGTTTTTTCAAATTGAGCTAAATCAAATTATGGTCGGGAAGGAGGCTGAGATTGATTTTTTTCTCCACAGATGCTCAGCAGGGCCGCTCAGAGCCGTGTTTAGCTTAATCACAACAAATTTGACGCCAGCCGACAATATTCCTCAATCTGCCGCGCTGTGAGCAGGTGAGACGCTTCATCCGTTAGCAATCACATAAACATGCAGCACCAGGTGTTTCGAGGACGGTGTGCTGGTTTTAATATGTTTGTGAGGACATGCTGCACCAGGTGTGTGTAGGAGACGCCGTGCTGGGTTTTATAGATTTGTGAAGACGAGTTGAAGATCTTTATAAAGACGATAAAGGTTTATCAAGGTGAGGCTGTTTCATTTCACATCTGATGCCTGCAGGATATCGGTTTCAGAGAAGGTTGATATTTTGTTTAAGATGATTGTGCAAGAACTATTTGGGAACTTTAACTTTGACTTCATGATGTGCGCAGAGAAGCATCTGCACTGCTCTATTTTCTCAAGTTGTTTATACTGTTTATTATTTATACTAGAAGAGAGTCCTTTGAGAGTGAACACAACTCAGAGAGTGAATGGATGATGGTATTTGTGTGATGTTGTGAAATATACCCACTCTGATGCTGATTTAGCTTCTATGACTGAGAACACACAGAATGCGTTAGAGGTACTAAGATCACTGGGGGGGTTAGAGAAACTACTACGGTTAAGAATAGCCCAGCCTTACAGTGAGATAAATCTAGCATGCCATCCTTGAATTGATGCGGCAGATATGTATGGCTACTGCAATCTGTGAATGCCAAATTATCTGTTAGCATCTATCAACAGGGCAAGTATTAAAAAACCAACAGTCAGCTGATATAAACTTTTTAATCAAAAACAAATCTGTCAGAGCGTTTGTTCAAAGATTAGTGCCACTTTCCTTCCTGTGATGGTGCTTACACACATGAACAATACTCCTGATAACTTCCTGAACTCTTCAGGGCGTGCTGCACTTGTGAATGCAAACAGCTGAGTTTTTCACTCTGACTTTACCTAGCCTCCTATTACATTGTCCACGTGAAGTCAGAGTGAGCTGATGCGGGAACACAGCAGGAAATATGATGATGCAAGTGGGAAAGGATGATATGCAAATGTTGGACGAAGGTGCGATCTGTGCATGTGTTGAAACTTGTTAGTTATTTTTTCTGTGTGCCTGTGTGTTCTTTACTACTCTTTTGTTGATGTGAATATGTTGAACTACCAAAGTATTGGTATTAAAGCAAAGCACTGCCATCATAGTGCCAGAATCTGTTGATTCATTTAACATGGTCGAAAAAAGTGCACCAGCAAATCCAGATACGATACACTTTATTTGCTCTTTGGGGAAATTTTTCTTGGACTCAAAGTGCTGCTTCCACAGTTTTTATCCAGTTAAAAACTTTGGAACAGACGGGCCCAGCTCACATCAAGTTTGAGGATCAATGTGTGCATTGTAAAAGTGGGAACTTTTGGAGGACAGAAGACAAATGTTTCTGCCTGTGGAAAGACAAATACTCCACATCCCTCTCTTCACAAACTGTTATCTCTCTCATTTTTCCACTTTCTGTTAAGACGTAAAGAAATGAAACATTTCATCTTCTGTCAGGCCGTGTGTCGATTGAATCCACGCCTCTCGAACCTTTGATTTTCCAGCGTTGCCGTATAGTGATTAATAGCTCAATCTCAGGCTGGCTAATGAGTTTTATCAGGAGCCACTGGTGATTAATTAGCAACAGCAGAGAACATGTCACCACTTTATTCGGGCTAAGCCGTTTCTTCCACGCTCTAAATCTTCTCTCTACAAAGAGATAGCTTGGCCCCAGGTGACTCTTTGAAACAGCTCCGAGGTTTGTAAGAGTTGAGCTCTGCAGGCTGCGGTCACATCGGCACAAACACACGGACGGCCCTTTAACAGTCAGTGTGACTGTGAGCTCGCTCATTCAGCATGACGGAGATTAATTCATCTCAAAGAGTAAACGTCCACTCTAATCAACATCAGGAGGAGCATACTCCTCTTCAGCAAGAAAAAAAAAACATCTGTAAATATAAAAGTGAAAATTTAGGTTTTTGAACACAAGGTTATTATTTTCACATTTCATTCCTTTTTGACTTTTCATTACATGTCACCTCATTTTGAGACATTTGGGCGTCATAAATGGTTGGAATAGAAGTTTGGTTTGGGCCTCCAGCAGCTTTCCAGGAAACGTTAATTTCACAGGATTTCTCTTCAATTAGTGTCAAACATCAAGACCGATTTAATTATCAAGACGAGTGTTTTCAGCCTGTAAAAAACAAACACAAAAAGTGCTTCTAGAGGAGTTCTAAAGGAGATAAGATCTGAGTTTTTTGACACCTAAATGTCAGTACAATAAGACAAATGGCCCCTGCTTTAACAATACAGTATATCACAGGATTATAGTTACAAGTGCAGTAACGTGTAAGCAGCAATCCACTGTCATAACTGTCCAAGCTGGAGAACATTTTAGTGTATTCTTCAACCAGCATCTTTTTGTTAACGTTCATTATACTGCTTATAACACAGCTACTTCCTGAGGAAATCAATAATTTAGAACCATTGATTTGGAAATTATTTTAATGATTTAAAAGTGATTTCTTTCTTCCACTGAATAAATAGTTCATTGGAATCCACAGTTAGAGCTGTATCCATAGCAACGGTTAACTCTGTAATCATAAAATAAGCTACACTAGCTGTTATTACTTTCATCATTTAGTCACTGTCTGAGACTGTAGACGTTTTCTTTTCCATCCAGCAGTCTCTTGAACACCACTGGATCCCGTACTCTGTTCTGTTACGTGTTGCCTTCACATGCAGTTTTCAGTTTCACTGATCTCTCTGTCATAGCCTGCAGTTTTTGCCTTTTTTAACCTCTTTTGTCCACTGTTGTCGTCTCCTTTCTCCTTCCCTCACAGTAAACAGAGTGATGTCACATTAACCGGACTTCTTGGATAAGAGCCATGTCCCTAGCAACCCTTTTCTTAGTAACATTTTTTTCCCCTTCTTAACAACAGTGATTTAGACTGTTGTTATGTGTATTACCCCATTAGAATCAAGTATTTTAACACAGCCGACTGATACAAAGGTTGTACATCTGTCCCTGCTATAATCTGATGAAATGAAATGAAAGATGCTTGTTAAGCTGTCGGGGTTTTTTGTTACCATCACCACCTTTTTTTGTTTGATTGCACTCTGGTTTTATTGTTTAAATTATCATAACAACAAGGGGTATGTGTTCAAAGTGATCAGTTACAATTGTGGCTAAAATTCTTTCTGATTTCTATCAGATTTTCTCTGATATAAGATAATGTAGAATCTAAAAACTCTGGCCTTCCTGGCATTGACATTGTCATCCTGGCCCGATCTCTTCAGCAGCAGTGAAACACGATCTGATCTGTTCCTCATGAATGATGTAAGGCCTGTCGATAAAGAGTGACCTTGGTTTGACCTGAAGTCGTCACGGCCCTCTAAGAGCAATTACTGTCACTTTAAAAATGCAGGAGCTCCTTGTGTGTGCGGAGTTATCCTCTGTCTGACACCTCTCATGGGCAAGAGAGTTATATACGTGCGTTTACAGAGATGTTTGACCTAAAGGTTTTGTGACCATGCCCTCAAACATTACAAGGGTGAATTTAAAGGAAAAAAACATGAATTTCACTAAATTGGTTCTACAGGAGGTATGACACCCAAATCATTAGATTCAGACTTTATTCTGTGTGTGTGTGTGTTTCTTCTTGTTTCAGGTTGAACATCGGGAAAAACGACCTGGTGACTTTTTACGATGGAGACGACCTCACAGCTAAAGTCCTGGGTCAGTACGGAGGATCAAAGTCCAGATTCAAGCTGTACACCTCCACTTCAGACGTCACCATCCAGTTCCAGTCAGACCCAGCAACCAATGTGTACGGCTACGGCAACGGCTTCATCGTCCACTTCTTTGGTAAATCACTAAGCCAGTGTTTGGATTCACCTCAAAATATCAGAGATTTGGAAATCAGGACTTAAGGGTGGTACCCCATTTAAAGAGGTAATAGTCCTCCAAAAGGGTGGCACAGATAAATGAGAGTTGATTTTATGTAGATAGCAGTAGTTGGGTTCCTATTTCAAACATTACTTGAGTCCATTTAAACACAAAGTATTCACTATTAAAGGTCACATATTGTACTCATTTTTTAACCAGTTTAAGTAGGTCTCAAAGCTCTAAAACATGTTTTATCATTCCTATAAAACTCTCTATTTCAGCCCTGCTCAGAACAGACTGTTTCTGTGTCTGTACCTTTAAATGTAAATGAGTTGTGTCTGACCACGCCCCCTCTCTGGAAGGGCTTTGGTGATTCGGGCTTTCTCGCTCCATGTCCTATTGTTCACGGTGAGAAGGCAGACTCAGAGGGCAGAAGAAACACCTAGCTGTGGGAGTGTCACCCACCTGGGGGAAGGGTTATTGCCCTTTGTGATGTCATGAAGGGAAAATCTCCAAACGGCCTGTTTGAGCACACATTTTCTGAAAAGTGGAGCAGGCAGAAGACAAAGAGGATGGACTTTTCTCATAATTGGGGAACAATGGTAAACATGTATTTTGCATAATATGTGACCTTTAATGTGCTAAAGGTATTTCAATGTTACAAGCACAACAAAAAGTATAGCGCTGGAAGTCTTGGGCGCACATGACATCTCTAAATATTTCCATGCTGCAAAAAATCAAATTACACTAAGCCAAATTCATTTTGGAACACCTGAAAAAAAAAGGTATTTCAAGATACAGTAATACAAGGACAAATAGTGCCTGGGTTGCTTGTAATGAGGGAAACTGGCTGCCAGTGCAGACAGCAAATTTGACTTCAGTTTCTTGAAATAAGACATTAGATCTCATTTTGAGAAACTGAACACTTTGGCTAAAAATAAAGTTAGAAAAGGAGGTGATTATGCTGAGGATTAATGAGCCCTAGTTTTCTGAAGAATCAGAGTTTTAACATTCTGTGTGGAGGTACTGCAGTGTAGTCTCATTTACATATAAGTTAAAGACAGTAAACGTGGTACTTTTCTTTTTGACGGTTTGGGGCGGTGAGAGGCGGTCGCTGATGATGCTGAGACCTTTTCCATCAATGCAGCACCCCCTGAATAGCCATCACTTCTATCTGATAAGAGTTAATGAATTCAGAGGAGCAGGAGAGGCTGCAGAATACAGATGATGGACAAACAGGAAGAGAAGGAGGGAGAGCTTTTATTACAGTCTCTTCATGAATCTCATTGGTGAAATGCAAACACAGGAGAGCGATGTCTGTGCCGGCAGGTGTCAGAGAAAAGCTGCTTTTCTGGAGTCCAAGTGCAATTACTGAGCAGTGTTTGTCCACATTAGCCTCCTGAGCAGAGGGCCTGAACCTGCTGCTGTGAGACTGAGCACGTGCAGAGAGGAGCCAGCAGGCCTGGCAGGTTGCAGTCAGCCCACAGGAGAGAGAGATGCAGAAAACAACAATGTTCCAGGGGGGGATCCCCCACGTCAAGCTGATATTAAATATGGATTATATGCTTACCAATTAAAGCAGATGCGTACATTTCTCATACTAAAGTGTTCATACATATTTTAATTGATTCAGAAACATTTTCAACAACGTTCCAACATTGCAATTATAATTTCTAACATCAAGTCTTACGTGAAAGTTATCTGTTCCAAGTTACTTAAAGCTCTTGTGAGGAGTTTTTAGATGGTAATAAAACAGACAGAAATTAATACTGATGCCTCTCTACAAAGTACAAAAGCAAAACACACCATCAGGAAGGTGATTTACTTTGTCTTTATTTTTATTTGTAGTGTCTGCTACAGCTGCCACCAGGTCTGTGTGAGACAAGGACGTAAACAGCATGCAGACTGGAAGGGTCTTTGTTTACGCTTTCCACAGTTAATACTCAGAGTTTATGACACATGTGACTGTTTGAAGAGATCAGGTTATGCATATAAAGGACAAGATCAACACAGACAAAGACGTACCTCTTTGTCTAAAGGGGAACTAAAGATCAAGACAAAAGGAAAGTTTCTCACTGGAGTTTTAAAAGACTGGATATCTGCACCAACTTTCATTCTGCTGTTATTTCAGAGGCTTAATGTTTGGTCCTGGAGGGGGGAAAACAACGCATGATTAAAATGACAATGGGTCTTCGACTGAAAAAGTTCAGACCAAAAGCAAAGCTTTTTTGCCCAAAGAGGATGATTACAAAATCAATGCAAAGTTGCAAGCAAGAAATTGCCTGAGTCTTTGCTGCAAAACCGTCGAGGCTTTGAGATTCTTCTGACATCCTGCACTGAGAGAGAGAAGTCAATCCGCATTCTTTTACAAACAAAACAGAACAACTATTTTAAAGTTTGTCTTGCAGACAGACCTCACAAAGCATGAACTTTTACTGATCACAAACTCACATCAGGGAGTGGCGAATCTTGCAATATTGAGAGCAAATAGAAACAAAGGAATCCTCCTTAGGGGAACATAACCCTCGTTCATGAAGCACATAGAGGCTGATTCACTGACATTTCATAAAAAAAAAAAAAGACATTCCCCGTTCAAAAAAAGCAAGTGAAAAACTCAAACCTTGCATTCCTAATAACTCCCTTCTTCCTCTCTTCCCTCCTTTAACCCCCCGCAGAAGTGGCTCGTAACGACACCTGCCCCGAACTCCCAGAGATCACCAACGGCTGGAAGAGCACATCTCACCCTGAGCTGGTTCAGGGCACCGTGGTGACCTACCAGTGTTACCCTGGTTACCAGGTGATAGGGGCCGAGCTGCTCATGTGCCAGTGGGACCTCACCTGGAGTGGAGACCTGCCGAGCTGTGAGAGAGGTGAGAACACACAGAAAAACAAACACTGCTTCATCCAGTGAAGTTGGAAGAGAGGGAGGATGCGAGTTTGATACCTGAGAGTGTCGGCCACTCAATGAAGGACATTATCAATTTAGACAAATATGACTAAATAAACTTGTCAAAATCTATTTCAATGTATTCATACTCCATTCTTAAGCCCTTAGGTACATGCCAGTAATCCTTGAAATTAAAAAACTATTCAACGTTATCCAATGACCATCGATAACGGCTATTTTATCACAGATAATCACTGATCTTACACTATTTATTCACCAGTCACAAAGCATTTAATTTGCGTTTTGTTCTATTAAACTAGCATTTCTTTTTCACCAGCAGAGGGCGCTACATTGATTACAACAAGCATTATCACTCTCTCATAGGGTCAAGCGGCAATGCACATACATGCACAAATACTCTCCAGTTGAGTGACCATCTTATCTATATCTTAACTACATTTGACTCGAGGGATCAACACAATAAATGTGCACAATAATATCTATCTATCTCTACAGATTTCATAGATCTAAGAAATGTGTCTGCCAATAAATTGTTATCGGAATTTGTTTCTCCCCAATATCTTTATTGGGCCCAAAAATCCCATATTGGTTGGGCCACAATAAACACACACACACACACACACACACACACACACACACACACACACACACACACACACACACACACAGGCAGCAGTGGTGTCTCACTGCCAGCAGCAGATCCACTGGCAGCAGACAGGGGGGGGGGGGGGGGCAGATCCAACATGGCTGACTTCCACTCTGTGTTTCTGGCTGTTCTGGACTCAGAACTGGGCTGACTGGATGCCAGGACCGACGCAGCTCATTTCTTAATCCCTCCTCTGTGGACTCTGGTGTTACCAGGCTCAGACAAACAGATCTGCAGGGTCTGATATATTTCCTTTACAAACAGAAACCCGTGAGACTCTGAGCCAAGTCTTCTGATAGAAGATCCGGCTCTGCATCATGATTTTTTTAGCAGCATGTCTGCAAAAATGTATTTCTAAAATATTATGCACCCTTTGCACTGCCTGGTTTGTGACCCTTTGAAGCAAATTTAGAAATACAGAAGTACATAAAACCTTTAATATTTTGCAATAAAATACAGCATCTTCTTTTGTGTCTTTCTGCAGACCTCTGGCACTTGATGCAGACTTAAATGGATTAAAATGCCCTCAATATTTTGTGTAACCTTTTAAGGTTTGTCTTGTGCACCTTCATAATGCTTAACTTGTGTGCTACGTAATTAACATTTAAATACCAGATTCAGTTCATCTTTAAGTCTCTTACTTTACAACCCGCTAGGTAAACATGAGAACAAATCTTCCTGTTTGCTGAAGCTGAGATAAAGACCATGTCTCTCTTTCTTGGTGAGACAAAGGAAAAAAATACTCGATGACAATAACTCACCCTCTTTTTTTTTTTTTTTTTTTTTTTGTCCTGTCAGTGGTTTCGTGTCCTGACCCTGGGAAGGTGGAGCACAGCAGGCGGGTGCTGTCCGGTCCACATTTCACCGTGGGTTCGACCATCCAGTACGTCTGTAACAAAGGCTTCACTCTGTCAGGAAACAGCCTGTTAACCTGCTTCAACAGAGGATCTGCAGGACCGAGGTGGAACCAGAAGCTGCCCCGGTGCATACGTACGTATATACCAGTTAAAAAGGTTTTTGCAGGCCTGTGGGGTAAAAAACAGAAACTGGAGTCAAATCATGATGTTAGAAAAATAGACTTAATGCCTCAGTGTGCTTCGATTAAGGTTTTTGTTTTTATCATCCAATAGAACCTGAAGGCGGTAACTTGGGTTTAAAATAAATCAGGGGCTAAAATTCAAACTTTAATCAGCAACACCAGGGATAACTCTCTATTTCATTTACAAGTGCTCCTGCTGCTAGATGTCCAATGTGTCCTTCATGGGTAAGACATTTACAGGCCCTGACACAACAAGTTGATCGTCAGCAGTCGGTCCTAGTTGGACCGTCGGTGAGCGATCGTCGCCCTAGTTTTGTGCGGTGTCTTGCATCATAACAACGAACTACCGCTGCCTGCTGGCATGGAGAGTTATTTCCTCTCACACATGCGCAGAACGTACTCAGTGGTTGGCCGTCAGCTGCAGTCTTTGCGGTGTGTTCTAGTGCAACTTTTTGGCCAAGACAACACCAATTCTTTGCAGCCTGCTTGGTGTGTCAATGCCTTAACCCCGAGTTATTCTTGTTGCTTTGTCGGCGGCGTATGAATGAGATTAGTCAATACTGATGGACACATAGCAGCCTCTACAATCAGTGTGTGAATGGGCAGATGTGACCTGAGGTGTAAAAGTGCTTTGAGTTGCCATTTACCATTTCTAGCAGAAGTTACCGTATTTTCCGCACTATAAAGTGCACCGGATTATAAGGCGCACCTTCAATGAATGGCCTATTTTAGAACTGTTTTCATATATAGGGCGCACCGGATTATAAGGCGCATAGAATAGAAGATACTGCAGTCAAACGTTTGACTGGGGTTGCGTTATGCATCCACTAGATGGAGCTGTGCTAAAGGGAATGTCAACAAAACAGTCAGATAAAGTCAAACTTTATTAAGCGTTCTGACAACTCTTTTCACTCCCATGGTAACGATGTTCAAACGTTAATGTGCATATTCACAATATCTCCCAGCCTTGTTCAGTTGTAAACACGTAAAAGAAACACAGTCTTATACCGCTAATTCAAGCGTTAGTGCATAACTCAACATTGTTCAGTTACGTATAACACGTAAAGCTCACTTTTTCAGTTCATTCCCCGTCCACGAATCCCTCGAATTCTTCTTCTTCAGTGTCCGAATGAACAGTTGGGCGAGTACGGCATCCAACATGCCCGGCTCCCTCTCGTCATTATCCGAGTCAGTGTCGCTGAGCGCCGTGTACAACCAGTATGGATCAACCAATTAACCAATTGATCCATATATAAGGCGCTCCGGATTATAAGGCGCACTGTCGTTTTTTGAGAAAATTAAAGGCTTTTAAGTGCGCCTTATAGTGCGGAAAATACGGTACACTTTCATTCTAAAAGAGAAACTAGTTTTCTCCTCATCTGTTAAGTTGTTTGAAACAGAAATTGTATTGTGCATTTATTACATTTGTGTTAAATCTTCTCTGAACATATATGAGTTGTGTAAACGTCTCATACTGACAACAACCACGGCCATGACTCATACTCATGAATAACTCCTCCCCTTCAGGATGGTTTGTCATGTTTCCTTAAGAAACAGCCTGCAGAAAAAAACATCAAAAACATTTACAAAATCTTCTTAATTTCCCTTTAAACCCTTTTTAAAATGGACTATATTTAACATCATACCCTCCAGGGTCCACCAGAGGGGCTTTAGACTTGTATGTGTGTCTGGTTCGAGTATATGACATAGTTTTCTTTCTTTAACGAGCCGCTCACATTCGGAGGACTTAATTAACCTGGTTTCAAATTAAGGTGTCCCAGGATGGCCTAAATCTGCCGGAGAGAGTCTTCAAGCTGACAAGACTGAACATATTGTTTTATTAAACAGCTGTCAGCAGTTCAACAGCAGAAAACATGAGCCGTTATTATCTCAAACTGGTAAACAATTCCCGCTTATGGAACATATAATGTCTTATAATCAAATCTACTTAGTTTCTTTATTTAATTGGAGATTGTGGTGGAAGGTTTTCAGATTAAATGTAATCATCTTCTTCTTTTGTTTCTGATAAAGCTGCAGACGAGCTAAAAGTGCGTCGAGCTGATTAAAATATAATTTCCTCTTCAAACAGCCTCGAAGGCATTAACCTCATTTGCATGAAGGCCTCATACTCTGCCTCACCTACTTTCTAGGTGGAGACATATTGCAAGATGACACTGACTAACAATTAATTTTACTGGACAACGGAAATTACAGTGGAGAAGACAGGCGGGTCATTGTTATGCATGAGATGGAGATGACGAGAGAAAAGATGATTATTACAGGGTGTGTCCCAAAAATTTAAAAAAAGGAAATCTGTCATTTCTAAATATTCTCTTCAGCTTCAGGAGGAAACGACTGCAGCCTAAGATGTCAGGAGAGACATATTTTCCCCCTTTAATTAGGTTCTTAAAGACCTTACATGTAATATCTTTTAGTTATACTCTAGGATGATCCTTATGGCAGTCCATCATGTTTGAATCCCAAACATTTAGACGTTTCCGTTGTCGACGTTTCTGTAGCATATAGGTTCTTTTTCACAGGTTTGGATCGCTAGCCCCAATCCCAACCGTCCACCATTTCTGGTTTCTGCCGTGTTTTGGAGTTAAGCTCAACCAACAACTGCAACCAAAGGGAGCATTTCCCACCAGCAGTGTGAGACAGAATCTACACTTAGGGACTTGTAACATTAAAGGCACTTCCCTGCTAAGTGTGTACTGTCAAATTGTCAGGTCCCCCCTTCAGGTGGTCATGCAGACTTTTCAACCAATGGCACCCTTTCCTTGAGTCCAAAAATCTGCAGACTTTTCTGCGTGACTCGACCAGTTAAAAGCTAAATTGTGTTGTTTTCCTGACCCCTTAAAAAAAGTGCACAAACAAGACATAGATTATGTAGTGAATAAATCATCCAGGCAGATATTTAAGGCTTGTTAACACCTGCACTGCTTTTCTGGAATATTTCAGGACACGCTGCCTCAAAGATCTTCCTGACTTTCCAGTTCACATTTGCACCTTAGAGCAGGCAAATGTCACTGACGTGAAAAAGGACGACAAGTAAATCTGAGATTGCGGACCAAGCGACAGAGTCCGTCACTATGATTATATCAACAGTATTGGCAGTGGCAAAAAAAGAGGGGTAAAGAACATGCTGCTGAGCAGAAAAGAGAGAAAGTTTGATTTTGAGCACGGCAATCGAACCAATTGAGCACCGGTCACATGATGTAAACATCATCGACCATCATCAATCCTCTAAATTTTTCTTTCTGCAAAAAAATAGAGCTTTTTGCGTTCACACATGCAGCCCAACATGAATATTTCAGGACATTTTCAGGAGTATTGAGCATGTATGAAAGCGCAATTTTATAATTAATCTAAGGAAAAAAAGGTTGTGATCTTGAGAAATGTTGGAGAATTCATTGAATTACGGCAGGATGAAAGAAAAATCTAGTGGTGTGAAAATAGAAAAAGTCAGTCATATAAAACATGAAAAACGTTTAACTGGAGCTGCTCTGTGTGCAGATCTCTTTATCCCGACCCTTGTCTTATCAGAGACTCAAAAGAAGCTATTATAAATTCATATTGAAAGAACATATGAATCCAAAGTAGAATAGTCTCTCCTGGATTCAGTTTCCTGCACAGTCTTGTTAATCTCCTCTGTCCCCTTTACCTCCAGCTGAGACCTTCGAGCCTTGCAGTCACCCAGGGACCCCCACCTATGGGATCCCTGACTCCACAAAGCTCCACTTCCAGCCCGGAGAGATGCTCCACTACTCCTGCCTGAGCGGCCACCAGCTGCTGGGAGAGCCCGTTCTCCACTGTGTCCCTGGACACCCGTCTCAGTGGAGCGGGTTGCCACCTGTCTGCAAAGGTGAGGAACTGCAGCCTGATGTTTTCTCTGCATTATTTTGTCAACTTCAGTTATAGACAGTGTCAGGCATGTGCTGAAATTACCGTAACCGGAAGATTTTGATTATACTTTTTATTATAGTTAATTTCCATTATAACGATTTTAATTCTAATCATTTGCAAACAAAAGTCAAAGATATCTCCTGTATTTGAGTTACTGTACGTCAGATTCTTGTTAATTTTGATGGTTTTAGCTCTTCAATATTTAAAAGCACAATGTTTAAAATGAACATTTAATCTCACTCAGTTTTTGTCTTCTGCTCTGCCAGACGCTCTCAAATTGTTATTGATCAGCCGTACAACCACACGCAGTTAAAGTAAAAAAGTCACTGAGAGAAAGAAAAAAAAAAGGACAATTTTAACAGTAAAATCTAAATTAAAACAAAGTTTTGGAAAAATCTGAAAACAGAACATGAAACAATATAGAACAACTCAGTAAAATTAATTAACAACTCACACCTAAAAGGACATTTTTACTAAGCTGCTAAAGTGAAATGTGGAGGTTTGCAAATCTGCAATTTAAGTACAAAAAGAGCGACCTAAGGGTTCATTGCTATTTAATATATTAGTTACACTGGGGACAAATGAGGCCTGGAGGAGTCTTTTAGTTTTCATCACAGGAGCTCGAAAACGACGATCTGAGGAGTTGAAGAGAGTTGGTCGTAACTGCGCATCTTTATAAGAGATGTCACGCACAAACTCTCAGGTGATCAGGAAAACAATCCCGCCTATGTATGACTTTAAAATATGTTATCTGTTAATAAAGTATGGAAATATGACTTAGAAATGAATTTTATTTATATAACCAGGGGGGTTAAATCAGCCTGAGCCCATCAGCAGCTCGACACTTTCTCCACATGTGTGGAGAGGTCTGGAGCCGTTGTCATGACAATGTCAGGAGTGTTGTTGTTTCTATCTTTGAGTTGTCTTCGATTGCTCCGTTCAGGGAGAAGGCTTCAATTTAAATGGTGAATCTCATGTCACGTTTTTTAAGTCAGGCCTCAAAATAAAGTTGAAAAAGGTTCCCCCTCCCCTCCCCAGCTCGTCATATTTATGTGGACAAAATCCTGTTTGTCAGCATCAGAGTGCAGCGAGCTATCAGCGGCGAGTAAATTAGGCCCTCTATGTGCATGATTCAGACGTTAGATATTCGGCTCATTTAAAGAGTCAGATGATCCTTTAAAGCTTTTCATATTGATTATTATTTCTTAGAGCCTCTGCCTGAATACTTCAACAACTTGAAAGACAATTTTACAAAACAAAAAAAGGAGCTAAACAAAGAAGAGCGAGCGTGCTTCAATAAAACATTAAAAACAAAGTCACAGTGAAACGCTGCAGAGGAAAACTGCTCTTTCTTAAAAAAAAAAAAAAAAAAAGGTCTCTGAAGTTTTTTTTCCTGACACTCTGAAGAAGGTTGTTCCAGTCTAGAGGCTGAAAATAACAAAAACAGTGGCCTTTAGTCTGAGCTGCACCCTGATGAAAGCACCTCAGGGAGGAGGTGTGAGTGGGATGGAGGGGGTCAGGGGGTCATAAACAAACACACAAACAGGCAGAGAGTAGCAGAGACCTGTCACAGCCACAGACATGTGTTTGTAATGTGCTTGTAGATTTCTCTGAAGATTCCCAGCCTTCACTGCTCCTCTGCATCACCTCTGTAAACGGCCACTCACCTGTGCTGTTGGGAGGAGATCAACACAAAACATATCTGTGTTTAAGAGGCAAAGACAGGAAGCAAATGCCACTTGAAGTTAAATATAAAGCTCATCTAACATTAAAGCTACTCACTACATGAGAGGAGTTGTCGTTTGATTGACCTTTGGATTTGTGAATAATAACCGTGTTGCTGCATGTTACATACATTTGAAAACACTAAAGACACACAATAACAAAATGCATTTTCAACATGATCGTTTCAAATGTTCCTTGTTTGCACCACAGTTAAAATGTTACAGCAGTAGACTCGTTGTCGGCACTTGCATCAACTTTAAATGTTATTATTATCTAACCAAAGTGAAAACATACAGTATGCACTTCATACTCAGTCAGTTTTTTATTTTTACATTTATTACACTTTGCCCCCTCTTTAACATCGTTTGTGTTTTTCTCCTCAGGCCACCCAGCAGACGACGAGCACAGATTGGATGGTGAGTCCGTTTTTACCTGCACATCTTCCCTCCACACATACATATAGAAAACACATTATAGTAGGTCTAACTGGGGATGTTCCAAGCGGCTAATTTAAAATTTGGTTAAATTTGTATTTTAAATTTAAATTCTAGACTAGTTGAGTGGTCTTAAATTAGGAAAACACTGAGAAAACAGTCAGAATTGGGCACAACATATTTCAACACAGCTAAACACAGGATCACTGTATCAGCTGGTAAACTGTCATATCAGTAGGTAAGTGTGGCTTATGTTTGCAGTGCTAACATCGTCAGCCTTAAACCCTTATTGGTCGAGTGATTGACAGCCAACATACATTTGTATCTCCATTTTCTAAATCAGATCCTATCGGTTCACTGTGCTTGTTTACATCCGGGTAATAGAGCACTACAGCTGCATGGCTGTAGCCATTAATTGGAGCTACAGCCCTGACTTGTGGAGGTAGCTGCGTTACAATTTAAGCATTTGAAGTAGTAGCATATCGGGTCTGAATTAATAAAATATTAATAGTTACTTTAACTGACTAGTAATTCTGGTGTCTATCGTTAGGGTGCTGAAATTATACATTCAACCTGATAATTGCACACATCCCTGGGTTTAACAATATTTATTGTATTGCTGGGTGAATTATTACTCCTTAAATTCTCCCGAACGTGACAACCTTAGTTTATATTTACCAGTTTGAAGTTTTTGAGTTATGAAACATGATGAGCACATACAAATAAAGAGTTTACGTTAACAGAAGTGATTCTGACATGTTACCTGTTAACACGTGTGCATTACAACGTCGGCTGTCTTTGTCCACCAGTGTCCACTGCAGACCTCAGAATGGAGGGGGCCCAGGCGGCGTTTGTTGTCATCATCCCCGTCATCCTCCTCCTCGTCCTCATCATCGGGATCTACCTCTACTTCTCAAAGTAGGTTCCACTGAGCAGTGAAGAGGGAGAACTGGTTAAAACAGCAGAGTGAAGGCTGAGCGAGAGATAGATTACATACTCAACAGTCTGTGGAAATCAAACTGATGGAAGGGTTATTATTACCTGACATAAGAAGAAGAACTGACAGGATGAAGATTTCTTTATATTGCTGCCTTTTCGAATACTGACTTAAAAAACACAAAGACTATAGTTCAAGTCTTCAAGTTTTGCTATGGCTGAAGATAAACTTTAAAATACTAACATGGTCTGACTCTTCATCGAGCCCTCAAAGCTCTCTGTATTAGCACTGCTCATGTTTACGAGCGGTACCACCAGCACAGAATCCTGATTAAGTCCTGATGTAAATGAAAGAAACATGAGATTTGTCAAGCATTAAATCCAATTAGGGGCGGCTGTGGCTTAGTCGTCGCTCAAGTGGAACGTTGGAGGCTCGATCCCCCAGTCGATGTGTCCTTTGGAAAGACACTCCCTCTGCTTGGTCAGCAGCGTGTGAATGGGATTAGTTAATACTGATGGTCACAATACATAGCAACCTCTACCATCAGTGTGTGAATGGGTAGGTGTGACCTGCGGTGTAAAAGCACATATTTTTCCATTCGTATGAGATTTAAATAAGACATTTCAAAGTGATCTGACAAATATGTATAACTTAAGTTAATTTTCAAGCAAGTGCAGAAATATGTCAAAGAACAAATGAACAGTTTCACCAACGCAACCCTACAACACGTTCAGAAAAAAATACACTGAGGCTTTTCAAGTGTGCAATAAATAGTCCCTTTGCTTTACTGAATATCTCGTGAGGCCCCTGCAGAGTGCATCATATCTTAAAATAACATTTTTATCAGATCTTTTGGACAAAAAAGGGGGTTTGGACAGCTTCTGTCTGAGGAGGAAGAAGTCAAAGAGAAGCAAATGTGACTGTTTTTAGCTGAAAGGATATTATATGAATAGATTTCAGAGAATTAGGATCAAGGATTTCAACACATTACTGTGACTAAAAATAAAATATGTGACCCGAAGAGAACAGATCTGATGTCTCAGAGGATTAAAAAGAAGAGCTCAAAACATCTTCTTCACAAGTTAAAGCTGCTGCTATTATTCCAGATAATGAATTTAACACACAATACACAAAACACAATATTTCACCTTTCTTTTTCATGGTTATACTCTGTGTCTGTGCTCAGGGTTCAGAGAAAGCCTCTCCGGCTCTCCTTGGCCTCCAGTTTACCGTATGAAAACATCAGCGCAGAATCTACGTTTGACAACACAGTTCATGAGACGACGGTGAGTGTGTTTGTGTCACTCTGTGAACGTCTGTACAGCCTATATGTGTGTGTTTGACTGGGCCCAAAGCTTCTTTCCCCTGATCCCAAAACATCACTAGAGCCTCAGTTTGAGTCCAGAATATAAAGTTTTAAGCACTGAATGATCCCAATCCAAAAACACCCTTTGAACCTATCTTTTCTCTATCTACTGTAGACCGTTTTGTCTAGGAATCTTGTTCCCGACTACTTCTTTTAAATTGAAATACACACACACACACACACATACACACACACACACACACAAGAGGGTCTAGCCTCGGAGGGCGCCTGACGTTGGACGGGTCAAAAAGATTCCAAACCTTTCCAAGAATTCTCCAACCATTCCCTGAATTCTCTGGTGTGCTTGTTTGATTTTTTTTTTAGCCTTGATGTTCAGCACAAAGCCAGAGCTGCTGGCAGCAGACAGTTGTGGAAATTCTCCAAGTGGTTAAAGCTTTTGTTGAGAGGATGTTTCCAAACACGACCCAAAATCCCTGCGAGACGGCGAGGAAGAAGAGAGGCAGCAAGAAGGATAACAGTGGAGTTTAGCTCCCTGAAAGAGTCATTAGAGAAATAAATCTGCTTAGCTGAGATCTGTGACAATCAAACAGGTTCGTCATAGAAACTGGGGAACCCTGCTGTAGATCTTTTAGCAGTCATTTATCCAGGGCCTAAATCCCTCTGGAGATGTTATGATGAAGAAATATCTGGCTGTTTAAGACACCTGTATGTTTATGCCACCATTTCACATGGCTGCTTTTGTCTATTAATTAAACATAATCATTTTCAAATATAAAACGATACTTGATAAAAGATTGTTTATTTGCTCCATTCCAGTTCTCAGCTGTCAGACTCTGGCTTTCCCTTTAAACCTTGACAGGTCAAAGGCTGAAATCATGATTTATTGCTGAGAAACTCGAATACTCCAACCACTGAATGGTTGTTGTTGTATTGTGAATAAAATATACCTTATTCATCCCAGAGGGGGAATTCATGGTGTATTCAGAGACATGCTACTCACACAAATAGGTGTGAAATACACACACATAAACAGGACCTATGGACACATATTAATGGAGAGGTGTCAGAGTGAGAGGGCTGCTCACAGGGAGCCTCCAGTGAAGTTGGGGGTTTGGTTTCTTGCTCAAGGGCACCTCAGGGGTACTCAGGAAGAGAATAGACACCTCTGCAGCAGCCAGAACACATTCAATAATTTGGTCCGTACTGGGTACTTTTGAACCGGCGACCCTCAGGTCCCCAACCTACAACAGACTGAGCTACTGCTTTGAATCAAAATCTTTTTATTTTCTTCCAAAATTAGAATCTTTAAATGTACATGTACATTACAATTTAGGGAACAAAAAAAAATAATAATGTTGTAATTTTTACGAAAATGATACAGCCACAGTTTATGATGTACCATCTTGATTATGGATCATTTATGTTACACCAGGTGTGTTAGTCATTTTCTTTCTCTGTGTTGAATAAACCATTTTCTTCCTTCTTCCTCCATGCTGGCATTACCCAAGAACAATGAGGTGAGTTAATCCCACCCTGATGTAAAAAAATTAAGATTTCTAAATAGTTTCTGAACACATCACATGATGTGGGGAAATTGTACTGCAAATAAGGAGTTTACAGGAGGGGGTTATAGTTGCTTTTCTTGGGGGTGTTTAAGCCCCTGCCCACAAAAATGTCTGTGACATCCCTTGGTTTAGTCGGCTGTCAAACAACTAATTTGAATCATACATTTTTTTCTCTTTACAGGAAACAAGAGAATACGAGGTTTCGATCTGAGACCCGGTGTGTGTGTGTGTGTTTCAGTATGGACAGATAAGAAGCCCGCCGGCCTTTTCAACATCTGTCACACTCGCACCTTCAGTGACTCCCTCCCCGCCCTACGTCCTCTGAATATGAGCCTCCCTTTATTTACCCGACAGAGGACACCACTCCACCCCTGGAACGGCTGGACCACCGGATTATTTTTCTAGCTCCTCTACAGTCACGGTCCAGCAGCAGCAGTTTGTACAGTTTTTAATCCAGAGCTCGCATCCTGAGGACTTTCAGTGCATCTAGGAAAGCAAAGGGAATCCATGTCAAGCGAGCACCATTAAGTGCATATAACCACAGAGGATATGTCATGTTATGTACATTACACACTCGTCGTCTCCTGCCACCGTTTAAAGAACAATGTTCATGGTTTTATTGGCGTTAAAGAGTAACATCTTACCTATTGAACGTCTCATAAAAATGGCAGCATTTGCTTTTATCAGAGTGCCCAATAATTAATGCAATTTTATTAAAATAGGAACTCATAATGTATCTGCATTAAAATAGGTTGCATGTTTGGTGCAGAGCTTGACTTGGTTAGCTTAGCACAAAGAATGGAAGTAGGGGGAAACAAACAACACAGTGCAAAAAACTAAGTAAAAAAAAAAAAGTGAAGCTAATGTAAAAGTGTATTAAAACTGCAATCCTTATAATGGCCAGAAGAGAGCGACTCCAATTGTGGTAAAAAGTTGTTAGTGAAAATGAGCCTACCCCTTGCTTATTTACATTTTCCTAATGAGTTTATGGTCTCAATCTGTAGTTTAACGTCGTCTCCAATACAGCATGCTGTGCATTTAGTACATTATGGTTCTATATAGATTAAAATAGATGAAGAACAATGGTACCCTTAGTGCATGCATGGCTTGGCTGTGTTTGTAACGCTGCAACAGCAACATTTTATTTAAAGCCTGTTTTTCCCCTCATCAATATACTTGTTACCTTTAACATGCACGCACAAGCTAGGGGCTAGCATTATTTTTCAACATAGCATTTGCTGACCCCTAGCATGGCTAGAGCTCTGCTTTCTTGTCTAAATATGGTCATTTTTGGTTCCATAAAACAAGATGGAGAAGTCAAAAAGGCTCAACTTAAAGATTTAAAACAGCAGAAATCAAACTTGTAGGTAAAGTATAAATGGTTATATCCACTGTTTACATACAGAATGTGTAGAAACAACTAGCTTGGCTCTTTCCATGTTCAAAAATACATCAAACAACACCCGGAAACATCTCTTATGAACATGTTTTATCTTGTTACTCATTTTTTTTTTAAATGTTTCCAGTTAATCGAGAATTTTTCTCTTTTCCATTTACTTTCAGTATATTAGAGAGCGTTTCAGGCTTCTTACTCACCAGCTGCTTGCTAATGAATTAGCTACTCATTCGCTAACTAGCATTAACATACTGTCAATCAATATAGAGTAAGAGGCCCTTAAGAAATGTGTTTCCAGTCATTGGATCTTTGCTATTTAAGGTGTTAGTTGGCTTTATTTTTACTTGTCTTGTTCCCCCTTGCTTCCAGTGTTTATGCTAAGCTAAGCTAAAATGAATGCATCCTGACACGAGCTCTGTATCCAACATGTCAGATGTTAATCTTCCAGCTCACTTTCAGTAATCATACAGCTATTTCTCAAAATGTCTTTAAAAACTGTCAAATTATGATTATATAAATGATCAGTAAATCGAAGAAAAAAAAAAAGCCAAAAGGGATCGTTTAAGTTTCTATTTCAACACTGTAATAAACAAACTTCTTGGGTTCATATGCAGAGTTAAAGAAAAGGTGATTTGATTCTTCTTAGTTTATCCACGTCAGTGTAGCGTAACAAATTGAGTTGATTTTTTTTTTACATCTCGTGTTTTTCTTTTGTTGAAGCGAAAGGAAAATGCACACTGAGGGAGGCTGTCGCTCATTTTGCCACTGCTTGTTTTGGAGATTGCGTCTAAATTCAGACCATTACAGTCAGTCAAACATACCGGGATGTCCTATGATAATATGTATCCATGCAAGCTGGTGTGATGACAATGATAATAATTAACCTATTTTTGTTCGACTGTACATAAAGTACGGATTAAGCTACTTCACAAACATCCTCAATAAAAGTTATTGTTCAGAAAAAATACAAAGGTTTTTTTTTTCCTGGTCTCCTTGATTGCATTGTGTCTATTTGATTTGATTCAATTATTAAAGCTTGTATGCGACCGATGACATAACTGTCCCCTTTAACAGAAGGCATATATGAATATAAAAGCATGAAATACAAGTGCTGAGTAGCACAGTAGGTTTGGGCAGTGACAGATTTGTTGGAACCTACAGAACAGATTTGGTTCATGTTGAACTAGAAACATTACTCTTTCCATACACCAGAAAAGCTTTCACTGCTGACACCATCTGGAAAGAGTGTGACCTGTGAGGCTTGATAAGCTTTCATTAGAGCTGTTCAATTGTGATTCAATCACCCTGGATGCATGTTTAGACAAGGAGTAAAAAATCTTTTAAACATTCACTTTAAAAGGCAACTTCAAACCTGTAAGATTAATATCAAGAATAACAATTAATTTCCTCCTATGGTGAATGATGTTAATGTTTTAGCACTTCAATGTTATCAAAGTGGAAATTACCCAGAGGATTTTGTGAATTTTAAAGCTTGTGAATATAATTTACATGAACTAAAGTTTCCATAACTGCTGTTCACCTGCAGTTTTGGGCAACTATCCTGATGCCACAGATTTCCATTGTTCCATAAAAAACAAAAAAAAGACAGAAATTCCAAAGGCAGACACCTCCTTTGGCATTAATTAAAGTAATATGTCATTTCTACTTGAACAACTCTGCAATTATGGCAGTCACACTAAAAAGTTAAGAGTGATCTCTTCCTTTTAATGCACAAAGTTTCCTCTGTGCCTCCAGAGAAAGAAATCAGTAACAGCGTACGTTAATGAACGAGTGAAAATAGTCCCATTAAAAGTGATAATTAGCTGTGTAATGAAGTCATGGCATGAACAAACTGCGATGCATCTGCTGTTCGTGATGTATTGCGTTTGTCAGGGCAGCCGTGTGTCTCTCAGCAGGCTGTAATAGATTTCTTTAAAAAAAGGAAGTCTGAGAGGGAACCTGCAGCAGAAAACACAGCCTGTGTCCATCTGACTGAGGCTTTTAAAATGAATCATCCTGGAAGAGAGTGCTCATTCTCAGGTGAATGACCTCGATGATTGCCATTATCTAAAAACTATATTCACTAAATTGCAAATTTAGTGTTTGCTTGCCTTTGGGTTCATCAAATGCACATTTGAAATGCTATAACAGTCTGTTTTTTGCTTTTTTTAAATGTGTGCTGGGGAATTGGACGTATATTTATTTTACAAAGCAAGTGGATATACAAGGCTTAACCCTCCTCCAGTTTGGTCAATATGAAGGAATACAGAGCAAATATGTTTACGTTGACAATTCATAGCCTGGTTCCTGAACCCTCAGTGTAACTATGATATTTGTCAGCAATTTAGGCAACTTGCTGACAATCATAGCCTTTTTTTTAATGGATCTTTCCCTCCACTTGCGAACAAACTCAGCCAACATGATTTCTAAGCAGGAATATGAACTTGTCATAACAAGGAAAAGCTATTTGCATTGATGGCATCAAATAAAAATGAATGGAACACATCATTCTAGATTAAAATCAGTCAAAGCAGACATTTAAATATCAAAAATGTGACCATTGTGATACTGTGGTCGTATCCCACCACAGATTGCTGGCGCCCTCTGCTGGTAAGAGCTACAGATGACATCATCCATGAGCAGGGGTATGTTTGCGGTATAATGTTGTTCAAACCTGGCAACAGATTAAGACTTTTTTTATCAGTCTGCGGGGTAATCTGGAACACGTTTGTAATCACAGGAAGATTCAAAATAATAAATGTATTTCTTTTTAATTAGATCTAAAAAGGATTGTTTTTTTTGTTTTTTTACATGTATTTGTTCTCTTTAAATAAAAGGGGGCATGTAACCACAGAGTCAAATATTGCTTGCTAAGGATCTCCTCTGATTCACAACATTTATTTGATTTATTGACAATATTCAGTATATGCTGTATTTTTTTTCTCTTAGGATGGTGAAGGGATGACCTCCATACTCTGTCTAATTGGCTAGTACGCACTGACTAAATATGCAAGTAGTCTTTTATTTTTTCTATTTTCTTTTCTATTTTTTTATCTTTTATAAGGGGCACTTTACTGAAGCTGGCACTTTATGAAGGTTTTTTGCACTGACCAAATTTCATTGTACATGTGCAATGACAAATAAAGATATTTTCTATTCTATGAAAGAGGTAGTTAATCTTCTCCTGGACGGGCCACTTAAAAAAAAAAGAGTAGCCCATACCCACTTCTTTATGCAACACTACACTCCTGCTTATTCCCTCCATATTCTCATTGTCTTTATCAAACTGGACAGGAGAGGGTGATACTGAGCCTTGTTTAAGTCTCTAATTTGTACAGGTAACATGCCGAATACACGAGCAGGCATGAATTAATCCACAACTCATTTTCACTTCATTTCAAGTGTATATTTGGTAAACCTGCAGGCGAATGAGCGTTAAATGTGTTGTTTCCCGAGTTGAGTTCTGAGAGCAAAGACTGGACTAGACAACTAGCAAATCATTGTTTCCTTACCCCCCGAAGATGTGCTGTTAGATGTGTAGTGTCTACATGCACAACTTAAGAGCTAAAAAGCTACCTTTTGCAAGGTTGAGGTGCCACTGGTGCATTTCGTAGTGATGGTGTACATGCGTGTATCTTACTTGTATGGAAAGGTCATTCAGTATCGCTTAGCATTAACTATTAGTACCAACAGATTCAGAATATAATTCGCAGAGTGGCAGCAATAAGCCACACTAAGAAATGTGTAACAACAAAAGTAACAGTGTCAGATAAAGTAATACATATGAGAGTAATTCCGGTAAAAGGGTAGACAATCTTTTAAAACGTATTCGCTCCTTTTTGGAAAATGTCTCGTCGTAATGGTCTATATCCGTCCCCAATGCGCATGCGCCCCAGTCGGTTCGCGGTTGCGCCAACTGGTAGAGGATGTTGCTAGCAGCCAGGGTAGATGCACAGCCTTTTTCACAACAATAACATCAACCGAATTTGCATCTCCACAAACCCGATTTCAGGATAATTCTTTCGGAACTCTACCGGAAAACGTGCATTGGACCGAACCACGTGGGATTTCTTCTTCGTAGGAGCTGGCTTGATGTGGTGTTGTTGACAATGGGAGCGGATGGGTTTGCAGATTTACAGGACTCCTTTCTGCAGGAGCTGAAACAAGAATCATGGCTGGCCAGCTAGGCCGCGGCAGGGTTTTGTAGCTTACTGCAGCTGTCTCTTGATAGAGGAGATTGTATGTAAGGCTCAACGCCAGTGTTTTAAGATTGGTGCTAAAAACTGACGCTATAGTTACAAGAATTAGGAGGAGTTTTGTTGTCTTTTTCGGGCCCGCAAACACAAGCTAGTGAGCCCGCTAGCTTCACAACCTTGACTGGCTGACGTCTTGCTTTTCGTAGTTAGCTCTGTTAGCCGGCTAACGAGAGCTAGCGTCGCTTTGCCAGCCTTTCTCTGCTGGAAAAAACACTTTTATTTCGGGAATTACTCTCATCTTTCCGTGCCGTCTGGGCATTTGTACCGCAAGTCCCTATTTTTGCACCGTCTGCTGCTGGATGAATGTGGGACAAAATGGAGACCCCGACGATTGTGTACGATCTGGATACCTCTGGGGGCTTAATGGAGGTGAGGCTTGCTCTTCTCTTAGGCCTCATTGAAGTGAACTATCCCCTCTATTATGACGCAAACATGCCTTTACATTTATAACAATCGCCTTTATATTAAGCATTGCATTTCTGTGATAGATAACTGAGTACCTCTGGCTGATAATGGAGGCTAGTTGAGGTATTTCAGGCCCTTTCAGTGATCAGATCACCCTTTAGCCTCCCAAATGACTCTTTATTTAACACAACTATTGTGATTTTATAAGTCAAATGTAGCATCTCTTAGTGGTATGGATGTAGTGCATGCAAAAAAACATGTGATTTAGTCATTAAAAGCCATTTTTTACAGAATACTATCATCAACAAAGTATTACAATGTTGAATTACTTACTACTTTTAGCAGCTATAGATATAGAAATGTGCTCTATTCTTCATTTTTAATACATTGACATAACAGGTGATGATGGGATGTGTAAAGGAGCCGTCCTAGTTGTCTTACAAAAACTTGCAAGCCCAACTTATACTCTCACAATGAAGGCCACAAGTTAAAGGTGCTCTATGTAATTTGGTAGATAAGTACAGATTCTGTGGTATATGTTCATAACTCTGTACACTAATTTGGTCCCTGGAAAACTGTTTGTAGATAAAATGCTACGTGAGAAGTTATGATTGAAGGCCCCCCCAACAGTGAAACTTTAAGTCTCCTGGTAGATTTTTAGCTCCAAACAGTGTCCAGGGACCCATTTTTATCTTTGAATAAAGTTTGTGTATTCAGTTCAGAAAATATAGCATAGAATTGTTTCACTTCTCCAACTTTCAAATGTCACTACCAAATCTACATAGAGCCCCTTTAAAGTTACCAGAGCTTCAGATTCTCTAAATGTATTAAATGTCAGGGCTATCATATCCTCAAATTAATCTGATCAACTTCCTTTTTTTTCTCCCCCCCTCCCAGCAAATCCAAACACTGCTCGCGCCCCCGAAGTCCGAGGAGGTGGAAAAGAGGAGTCGGAAGTTGGTGAGGGACGTCAGGAGGAGCGGCAGGGCCACCAACCATGACACCTGCGATAGCTGCAGGGAGGGGGGAGACCTGCTCTGCTGTGACCACTGTCCTGCAGCCTTCCACCTCCAGTGCTGGTGAGTTTTAAACAAAAAGAGTTCACAGTGAAAACGTTTTAACACGCATCAGTGCATGCTAAGTGGAGAACATACAATGGACTGCAAGATTTGGTTTCAGTTGGCTGGACGCTTAACACTGCGAGGGTTGTTTCTCTGATGAAGTTGTGCTGCTCTTTGTTTCTGCAGAACATTTGTCTATGCAGCATGCTGACTCAGATCCATTCCCTTTTAAGAAATAAACCTCCCAACAAAATGGAAAGGGGGATAGTGTACCAGTCACCACATGTGTATTTATTTCAGAGGGTTATCGAATACAGTTCAGAGTTCAAAGACAAAAGCTGCCTTATGTTGTCTCACCCTTTGTGAAAATGTGCTGTCACATTTGTGGTGGATGCTAAATACTAACTTCTGCAAGGATTGTCCCCCTGATTTAGTTGAGCTATTTTTTTTTTGTGCAGCAGAGATTGTAACCTGGCAATTGCATGAAAAATCACTGACTTTACTAACACTTACTTATGCACACATTTCCATCAGGGTCGTTTTTATTTAAATGAATATTCCACTTACAATTACTGTTTCTTCTCCGTTTTCACTGTTCAGCTCTTCATGCAACTGAACCGAGGAGGGCGGTAGTGAGCCTTGTCTAGCTCTTTAATTTGTAAAGTTAATACGCCGAATTGAAAAGCATACATTAATTTAATCAAAAGTACATCTACGAGTCATTTCGTCGTGTTTTTTGGTAAAGCTGCGAGCTTTTGTTTGTTAAATTGAAGGTTTTTTTGAATGGAGTTCTGCGAGCAGAGACGACAGCAGCTAACACAGTTGCTAACCCGTTATGTTTCCTCTCTCTCCAGAGAGTGTGTGTTGTTAGCTATGGGGTGTGTCGTTTTGTGCGCTTCATCATAACATTGAATTGTTCATGCAACGCGTTGTTTTATGTGTTAAAGTGGTCGTGTATGAGGTCTGTGAAAGCGGCTGAATGAGCCTGTAGTCGGTCCTCCCCTCCCGCCGCTTGCTGCTGCTGCCGCTGCTAAAAATGGAGTCGAGTCTGCCTCTGTTTACAATATGGCGACCTCACTGCTCTCTTTTTCTATTCAACCCGCCATCTTACCAACCTTTTAAAATCCAGCTTTCAGCAGGAAGGGTTTGCATAAAAGTTTCCTCTTTGTGCAGAGATGAAGCAGCAGCATCATGCCATTGTTGTTAGTCTTTATAACGGTGTTTGTATCGTAGCGTTTCGTTGCATTGCTCCTCGAGAAATGTGTGCATGCATGATTATTTTAACTTCGGCATTTGGTGAGGTTGATTTCAGACTGTCACTTGGAAACGACTGAACAGAAAGACTTTTTATCCATATATGGGCATGACTGTGAAAAGCTTCATCTTAATAACATGTCATATCAGAGGTATATAAATGTATGTAATCTGAAAGGTAATATCACACAAGGTATTCTGGTCATGTTTGCTTGTCAGTGGGAGATTTATAGTTTATACTGTCAACTATAAACCAATCACCACAGATCCCTCTTTGACTTAGCATTCCTACAATTTATCTCATTAAACAGCAAGAGCTTTTTATTAATCGTCTTTGTCGATGTGAATACGTCTTCCTTACATTATTGTAACATTTTCTGTGGTCATTTACTTGAGAGATACACGTTGCAATTATGTGTGAGTTATAATACCCTTTTATTTAACATCATGGATGATATTAATGCTTCATCTGTGCTATACTTTTGTTAGTAGATTAGACATGGAGATATCTTAACAATTCATTGCCAGGCTTTTTCTTTATTGTAAAGCAACAATCAGTCCACTAGATGGCGGCAGAGAGGGGTGAAGTTTACTATCTGAGTGATAAATAAATGAATGTAGGTAACTATAAGCTGCCAGCATTGCTGTTATGTTAGACTACTATGTGGGCAATATGTATTTTAATTAATTGGACGGTGTATTAATGTTTTCTGTTTAACACTTTCTTCTGCACATGAAATAAGAAGCTATACTTTTGAAGCACAGTGTTAAGACTGCATAAACACATTTTGTGCATTAATTAGCATCCTGGTTAGTTACTGATGATGGTGTTGTGTCTTGTTACAGTAACCCGCCTCTGAGTGAAGAAATGCTTCCCCCTGGGGAATGGATGTGTCATCGCTGTAATGTTAGAAAAAAGGTGGGTGGCAAGTCGTTACTCCTACATGACCAATCCTCTTCTTGTATTTGAGAAAAGTTGTGGTTGCTCTCTGTTGCCGAATGGACTAATACATCTTTTTTTTGTTTTCTGGAAGAAGCGAGAGCAGAAATCAGAGCAGACAAACGGTCTACCAGACAGGCCCTCGACAAAGCGCTCTGCATCCCCCGCCGTGGAGCTGGAGCTGAATGCCGGCCCACTGCGGCTCGATGGGCTGCCTCCAGGTGCCGGAGCGGCTGGACCCGGTCTACGTGTGGCACAGGTTCGCCTCTTGGACCGCAGGACCAGCAGCAGGCCGAGCAGCCGACCCGGGACGCCCAACTCCAACACGTCGTCCACCCCGACCCCGTCTGAGGAGCAGAATGACGGAGAGGAGGAGGCTGCAGAGGCCGAGGATGAGGTGCAGGGTGCAGAGCTAGAAGGCGCTACGCTGACTTCTCCAACGCCACGCCTCCTCAAGAGACCGTTTCAGCTGCTGATAGCAGCCGCCATGGAGAGAAACCCCACGCAATTCCAGCTGCCCAGCGAGCTCACCTGCACCACTGCACTGCCAGGTCAGTCTGACTCGAGGAGATCCCTATAAATGATGCTTTAGTTATGAGGAAACTGGCTCTTCACAATCTAAGCAAGCTGTCTGCTGTTTTTCTAAGAGGGTTTCTATATATTAAGTATTAAGAAGACAAATAAGAGAAATTAAAGGCATTTCAGAATTTTTTGACATGAGCTACTCCGGACAGTTTGAAGTGATCTGGCTTTGATTGTTTCTCACATGTTCCTGTCTCCTCGTGTTTGGATTTCTAGGCAGCAGTAAAAGGAGGAGAAAAGAGGAGCTGCTGGGGAAGCCGTTCAGGAGACCTCAGCATGAACTGGATTCTAATGGTCTGGTCCCTCTACCGGTCAGAGTCTGCTATTCTTGTAACAGGTGAGTACTGCCAGGTTCCTGTAAATCCATAGATGTTCACACAGACTGTAAATATAGCATGTATCAAACTGGTCGTGTTTCCTCTCACAGGAGCTGCAGGTTGGCACCGCTGATCCAGTGTGACTATTGTCCCCTTCTGTTCCATATGGACTGTCTGGACCCTCCGCTCACAGCTCTACCTGCCGGCAAATGGATGTGTCCGAACCACGTGGAGCACTTAGCGGTAAGAGTCAGGCTTGTGGTCTTTGAGTTAGTATTTTAGGTACCAATGATTCAGAGGTCTAATCTGTTTTCTTTTGGTTTCCAGCTGAATCAAAGGACCCTGAGCCTGTCCAGTCGCTGTCAGCTCTTCGACCAGTTCCAGGACCGCATGTCCCAGCACGCCGTCAAGGTGGACTTTCTGCGTAGAGTTCATCGGCAGAACACACCCAACCGACGCACAACCCACCAGCACAACAAGAAGAGCATAAAGGTAGAGCGGCTGCCTTATTGTGACGTTGTTGATCGGGTTTCTTAAATTCTAAATCAGGACAAACAATCCATTGTCATGGTTCGCTGGTAACGACTAACAAATCTCTGGTTCGGTCTTAGGTGCCAGATTCCATCAAGTCCCAGTACCAGAATCCTCCCCCCTTGCTGCTTCCTGCACGGCAGCGCCAGCTGGAACTGGTTTGTAGCGGCGTTCCTGACCATCAGTCATCAAAGCACCTGACCTCAGATGCTGAGCAGCAGGAGGTAAGTGTGATGAATTTAAACCACCGTTTGTTTTGAACCTTTATGACTTAGTCTTTAACAAAAAGGTCTCTGTAAGGATGACAGTTACCCTTTATTTAAGCGTTATGAAACGCTTCAACTTTTCTCCTCTTGTTAAAACATATTCTTGTGTTGAACAGTGGCTTCAGGATGTCATCGCCCTGCAGTGCAGCATCATGAGACACCTGTCAATCAAGCCCAAATCTTCATCCACCCTGCCATCAGTAACGCCTCCAGCAGAGTGGAGCCCTGAGCAGAAATCTAGTTCTAAATCCTGTGTCACATCTGAAGATGTGAAAACGAAAGCCTCCATAGGCAGGACTTCCTCTCTTGAGCCCTGCTCTAAGCCCTGCAGTACACCTGTTGACACCCTGTCAGAGCTGGGCGTTTGTAAATGCAGCATGACACCCTGTCAGAACTGCAGGAAACCTAACGGACCTCTGACAGAGGAGCACCAGCCTCCCAAAGCTAACGGACCTGTAGACTGTAGCCGCTCCTCGGATTCCTGCAGGCAGGGCGAGCTGCAGCACAGACTGAAGCCCAGCACCGCACCCTCGGACTCCGCCCCTGCCTCCGGGCTGCTCAACCACTTACGAGCAGAAACGGTTAAAAAGGAGCCCGAGAGCACAACGGAGGCGTGCGCTCAGAAAATCTCCCCCAGTGCCCCGACGTTATGGTTACACAGCGGGCAGCAGAACCACAGGAGTCAGACGGAGCTGCAGGAGGAGAGCAGCGAGGAAAAACCCTCCATCACCAGCAGTGCCCGCTCAGACACACCACTTAAAGGAGACAAGGAGCACGGCCACAACAAGCTGGTGGCGACCCCGCCCACTCAAGGTATGACACTCCTGAACCCTTAAAGTATATAGTATATCAAGACGTAGCTTTAAGCCACACCACTTAAGGTTTAGAGCCCCACAGGAGAAATACATGGACTTAATCTCATCAGTGCTGGGCGAGCTGTTTTTAAAAGCTAGAATAGACACACTATGAAGAGCTTACATTAAAACTTTAAACATTAGAACTTAAAAACATGTTTGTGTAGTGTTGTTGAAACTTCCTAGTTGCTACCTTTTATTGCTAATTGTTAGCCTCTTCTCAGGGTGTCGGTAAGTTTTGTCTTCTTGAATAAGTCTTGTCTGTTGTCTGTCAGTTTTCAACATGCTTGAGATGATTTTCTCTCCAAATAAGTGAATATCAAGGTGAAAATGTATTTTTAAATGAAGCGCGATCCTAAGTCCAGGTGCCTTTTGGATCAAACTTCCAACTTTACCTTGACCTGGATGACTGAGAACCTTCACAGACTTTTTGTATGGTGGTTTTGACTTTGCATAAAAAAACGGAACATAATAAATGTAGCATTAAGTCATACGAGGGTATTTGGAGGGTTGTCTTACAGTTGTTGGGTTATTAAAAAGGCAAACAGTAACAGCGGAAAGATGAATTCATTCATTCAGTCTCTGGTGTTTCCTAGCATACACTGCCCCCTACTGTCACTGAGCTGGTCAGAGCCCAACAGCGCCCTCTGGTGCTCCTAGACACTAATTCCCCATCTGTCTGAATTCACAATTAAAATGATCACGATGAGTCTGAGTTCTTCAAACAAATGCTTTCTGTTCATTTCCCCTGTGCAGACATTAAGGCTGGTCCTGGTCCTGGACTGATGGACTCACTGCTGCCCAGCACTCTGTCCTCCATCACCAACCTCTCCAGCTGCATGAAGGATATGGATGGAGGTAGGTGTAGACACTTGATATTTACCTTGGAGGGGTTGTAGTATTGCCTTTTTTTTTTTACGCTGTCAGCGGTATATACCTCTCTTAATGTTTGTGTGTGTGTGTGCAGGAATTGAGCTGGACAAACTGGATACAGAGATGATCAAGCTGCTTGCCTGGCAGAGGATCCAGCAGCTCTTTCCCCCAAAAGTGCCCCCCAGCACTTCTCCTCTCCCTGCCCCGAGCGCCGCCATCAAATCCCCGTCACCCCGGCCTGACAGTAAGACACTCCACCACTCTAACGCTGCTCAGTCTCTCTTCCAAAATGATTCTCTATTCATAAGAACACCTGAGCACAAATATGTCCCAACTTTTCTAAAAACACCCCCTCCTCCCCACTAGGTAAAAAGAAGGTGCAGGCCCGGGCCGTCTTCTACCCTCTGACAGGAAAAGGAGGAGCAGTCAGCATGTGTTACAGAACATTATACATAGGATCTGGTAAGAACAGTTGCCTGTTGTGTTCTTTTTCAGAGTGAAAGATGTTCATAGTGTCAATAATGAGCTTTTTAACTTGTATACTATGTAGGAAATAACTTTTTGAAACCTACTAACGTTTTATTGGGGGAAAAAAATGAAAATTTGTCCTAGCATCATTTGTAGAGAACCTGAGTATATACAGGCTTCCTGCAGATCCTTCAAATGGATCTTGAAACTGAAGGTCTTAAAATGTCTGAAAGAGTCTTATTATTGCTTGTGAGAGGTCTTTTATTTTGAATTGCACTTTAACTGAGACATGTCTGGATACATTATCAAGTCCTCACTGTCTATATAGTGTTCTATGTCTTTTCAATATTAGTTTTTGTGGATTAGATTTGTTGCACTTACTGACATGGTTTCCTCCTCTCTAGGTCCTTGCTTGAGTTGTACTTACTCTTACAGCTTATGGTAACATCAGCCGCAGATGTGTAGAGAGTCGCTCTGCTGACCTCTGCTGGTCACTCCTTAATCTCTCTCTTTAATTGAGGAGTCTTTTCAATCACACCAGCACTGCACAAAGTTGCATGATTATGACCTAATGAGGGAGGAAACCTGTTTAAAAAAAAAAAAAGTGTCACCACCACCCTGATCTGCATCGCTATGTATCCCAGCACACTTTGAGCAGTGAAGCGGCGGCTTGCATTCCATGAGGGTGAATTTTCAGTGGCGTCATGGCCCGTGCAGTGGGTGATGGTGGCGGCTGCACTTGCAGTCATGATGGCACATATGTCATTATTTTATACTGTTATACACGGTATATAACAGTGTTTCTATGTAGGTCATTTTCCTCGTACCAATGCTTTTATTTCACAGAGGACAAAGTCAATGCTACGGTTCATTAACATGAGATATGTTGATCCTGTTAGCATTTCTGGAGGCTCTCTTGACTGGGTGCTAGGCCCCCAATGGCCCAGTGTTTTAGTTCTGCAAACCTTGGCTATGGTGTAGTATTTTCTAAAATGCCTTATTTTGTCTTACCTGATCTTTACTGTTTGTGTCGTTTCTTGAATGTGTCTTATAAAGGTGCTGACATGGACGTGTGCCTTACAAACTACGGTCACTGCAACTATATATCGGGGAAACACGCCTGTATTTTCTATGACGAGGTAGGGTCTTTGAACTGTACCCAACCCCCCCTCTTTGTTGTACTGTCACTGAAGTACCCGGTGTAAAAAAAAGTTTCCGTGTGTGTCCGCAGAACACGAAGCATTACGAGCTGCTCAACTACAGCGAGCACGGCACTACGGTCGACAACGTCCTCTACTCGTGTGACTTCTCTGAGAAAGCTTCGCCGTCTCCGCCCAGCGGCCTGGTGGCCAAAGTGCAAGGCATCATCCGTGAGTTCACCTCTTTTTATCTGACACTGTTCCTGCATCCAGTAGGGGGCATCAGTGAGCACAAGTCTGAACGCACAAGATCAGACTTAATTCTCCAAATTGTTAATTAAATAACCAAATGGATCATTTTATTCTCCATTTAATAATCAGCATATTGTCTGAAGTCTGAGTTATCTTTTCATCATTGCATGGAGGACTATGGACATGGTTGTTTTGTTTTGTTATTTCCTCTGTAGAAAAACTTAACAGCAATATCAGAGTTTAAAAGACTTGATTTAAAGTCTGGAGTGAAACATCTGCTGATGTTTTCTACCGACTGAATCGTACAGATTCTTTGCACAATATTCAAAACGTCCAGTAGGCTTTAAGGAAAAATAAAGAGTATGAAAGATATTTGTGTTTTTTGAACTTTTGTCATTGTTTATTAATTTAGAAATCTGAGACTTAACATGTGTGGAAACTATAATTTCATATTTTAATTTTTTTTATTTTAAAAGTGAATAAAAAAACAAAAAAGACTGGCGTTATATTCATGGAAAGTAGCATAAATTTTACATGACGCTGTTTTTATTGTCAATTGGATCAGTGTTGTCTGATAAAACAGTCGACTACTGTGGTTAAAATGTGTTGGTATCCTGGCTGTAGTTCACCTGCCTCCACCTGTGCGATGCTTCATCTCTCTGCGTTCTCCCTGCAGGTCGTAGTAAGCAGCGTGAGGATGACGAGGGTCCCAGCTCCGTGGTCGGTTTGCTTCCTGCCGGCGGTGTGATGAGCAGCCAGTCTCAGGGCGGCTCCGAGCCGTCGTGCAGCTGCAAGGCGAGCAGCTCCAGCCTGATCGGGGGCAGTGGGGCGGGTTGGGAGGGCACCGCCCTGCTCCACCACGGCAGCTACATCAAACTGGGCTGCCTCCAGTTCGTCTTCAGCATCACAGAGTACGCCAGCAAGCAGCCCAAAGAGGAGCAGAACGCCACGCCCGCTGCCACTTTCACTAGCACCACGTATATTACCAACGCCACCAGCAGCAGCAGCAGCAGCAGCACTACCAGCACCGCCCCCTCCTCCACCCCCACCCCTCCACCACCCAGTACTGCCACAGTGAGCGGCCCCTCTAGCCAGGAGGAGCCCAAAACTGAGACTGTCCCAGCCCACCAAATGCTCATTCTGCACGCCAACTCAAATCCATAACCCGCACAGGAAGTCCCGCCCTCCCTCCTTTTTGTTTTGCACCTTCCGAGTCACGATGGAGGGAAAGCTGCACAGCTGGTTGGTCAACAGGGAAACGTTTTTTTTTTTTTCTGTTTTTTTTTTTTCATTTTTAATGGTTTATATCTTTGCATGAACTTGAAGTATTATTGACAATCTCTTCTGTTTTTGAATGACTGACGGTAACCTTCTGTTCACTTCAGAGCGAGAGAACATTTTTTACCTGCGCTCACCATTTCTTTGCCAGTATATCGTTTATGTATGGTGTAACATTATTTTGTCAGTCAGCCCATTTAGCACAAACCTTTTATTTAGTAGTAATGGATTCCATACATTCTAATTTCTTTTGCTGCTTTTGCACCACAGGTAGCTAAAAAATGTATGAAAACATACATGCTTATACACTATGATATGTATATATAATGTAAATATATATAATTCAGTGCCTCTCACTTGGAGATACATTGGATTTCATGTAGATTTACCATTTTTTGGTTTTTAACTGTACAGTTCATGGAATTTGTGATACCGTGTAGAGTACCAGAAGTTTTGTGATAAAACACGTTCTTAGTCTGTACTTCCCGCTGTCGTCCATCTGTAAATACCCTCTAGTTTTAGCACTCATTTTAACATCCTGTGCTGCTCTGTATATAAGCACTCTTTGTCTGTACTGCTCGTCTGTTCAAACATGTAAATACAGAAAGATTTTCTAAGAACAAACTCAACACATCTGTGTCGTCTGTTTATTTGGTTCAAGCTTCTGTTAGGGCCAACTCAGCGTTTGAGTTTTGTTTTTCTTCTACTTAAAGTCACAGTACCAGTTATAACTGAGTTCAGAGTGTTTATTTAGAGGCTTGTCTTTGATTTCACGTCTCATCTTTGCAGGCCTGCCATTGGCTGATTGAGCGCCTGCAGAGGGTGTCCTTCAGCAACGTCCAGATTAACCCTCCTAACCTACGTTAATTTATGCTGCATTCATGTGTTGCCCCGATGGTCCAAGTCTTTGAGTTTGAGAAGTCGTTCTTCCAACTTCAGTGTGTTCACCTTATTTCAGTTCGGAAAGTCGGAATGTTTTAGTTCACTGATCTTCTTCGTAGCAGCAAACATTGTTGATGCTACGAAGATCAGTGAACTATAGGTTTATTCAAAGTAGTCTTTACAGGCGATTAATTGTTCTTTTCTATTTTTAGACATTACAACATACAAAGAGAAAGAATGAACAATAGAAACAAAGTCAACAGCTGTTCTATTGTTGAAAATAATAACACAACAAAGGAAAGATAGATGTGACTCCAAGTCTGTGAACTTCACTGTACACTCCATCATTTTATATTTTTGTCAATTTATGAAAAATTCTCATTCTTACCTGTGCACATAAACCATTTTACCCTCAGACTTTTCTTCTGTTAACACAAATGTCTTGTATCATGGATGTGAAAAGGATAAAAAAAAACTACGACCTTAGTGTAAAATTCATGACACGACCCACAAATCATGACAGTTTGAGTTTCCCAATCTTGATCCTTTTTCACCACTAGAGGGCAGCGTGTGAGTGCAGAGTGCAATGGAAAATCTCCATCTATCGGATGAATTCAGGGATATTTGGACAATTTGTAAATTATGTTGTCTATAGGTTTTTTTGGCCATCAATTTAAAAAAAAAAAAAAAACAGTTTTGAAGACTGCAGTGGAGATTCATGAGGCTGCTGAGGCCCTTGGCTAACATTCACAATGGGCCCCTCCAACCAGAGTATGTTACAAATAACCTGACAGTGTGACGGCAGTTACTGCCTAATGTGAAGATATATAAAGAGCATTAAAAACCAGAATAATAATACGGTAAACACATGATCTGTCCTAAACAATAAATGAACTCCCCCTCTCTCTCTCTTAAATGATAAACACTTTCTTTGATCGCCCCTCCATGCCTGGATAAAATAACACTTAACAACCTCATCGATCCTTAAATCACAACCAAATCACAAGTTAAATCCATATTTAGCATTAAAAACTGAACAAGTAAACCTTTCAAAATTTAAAAATAAGATTACACAAGATAACATATTTTTAAATGCAGAAAGTAAAGTAGGCCTAGCATTTTGATGTGCTCCATTTTTGATACAAGGCAGGTGAAACCAGATCATTTAAATTGTAATTACTGGTCCTGTTACTGGCTTTACCAACATATAGTAACCTGTTTATGTAGTTTTGTTGTGTGATGGATTTAGTGGGGGGAGAGCTGAACCCAACTGGTTTTGTTGAATGTGGCTCACATTCAGGATTTACAGTCTATGCTCACATTGCGTGACTTTCATTGTGGGAGGAGATTTAAATTATTAGACATGTTCGGTCCTTCCGGTCTGCTGTACCGTGATAACAGAGCTCCACAGTGACCCGCCCAGAGGAGTGTGTGTGTGTGTGTGTGTGTGTGTGTGTGTGTGTGTGTGTGTGTGTGTGTGTGTGTCTGTGTGTGTGTGAGTGAGTGACTTTCTCTCTGTCAGTGTGCAGTGTGACGCTCAGCCTTCAACATGTATCTGCTGCTGGTGCTCGGAGCGGGGGTCATCGCCGCTTACGTTTTCCGTGAGATAGTGGTGAAGGGGAAGAAGTTCACCAGCACGGTGAAGCTGCACGGAAAGACCGCGATAGTGACAGGTGAGAGAAGAGTGCGCAATGAGGAAGGCAGCATAGATCATAATAAACACCGGTTCTCTTTTATGTTCTGGTAGTTGAGATATTCAGCGCATTGCGAAACAGGAAACGGCGCAATTGAGTGATTGTGCGGGCTGAGTCAGGGTTTCTTTAGTTTTAAGATTTGAATCCCTCCATTCTCCGGCGGTGGATGATCAAATTTAAAAGTTGTAGTGTGCAGTCATTAGATTACATGCACAGGATCAATTAAAACACTCATTTAATCAAACTTAAACTTCAGATATACAACCATTTTTACTTAATTTGCATTAAGAGGCTCTTTTGTATTCCTGCATAGATCTGCTGAACATCATTTTAAATAATGTGTATTTTATGCAAATTTGTTTCCATTTGGCAGCATGCAAAGAAGACTTTAAGGACACATGTAAGAGTAAAGTAAAGGGCAGAATAGTTATTGACCATGTGATATCATCTCAGATGATGTTTTTGACTTATAAATGAGAAAGTTGTCCTCTAATATTTCAGGTCTTTATACATTTTGTCACTTGTAACCAAAGTTCAGTTCAAGACATTTGATTTTTCAAATAATTTTTGAATATATATTTCATTGAAGTTAGAGTGGGTTATTTGTGAGACACTGTATGTGTGAGCATCAGTTCAGTGGGTGAGAAAATAATAGTTTGTGAAACAAGAAGTGATTTGAATACATTTCTTGAAGCTTGTTATGTGTATAGTTATGACTGCAGTTTTGGATTGAGTTGTTCTAAATCTGTAATTTAATTTTGACGCCATATCCCTAATATCTTCATAAATGTATGAAGCTGTAATGACATCACACACACGCGTGCTGATCTGGAGCCTTTTGATGATCATATAATAAGATATAAGCAGCCTTGTTTTAAGGTATAAGTGCTGTAGTTTCCCTTCAGTTAGACTTGTAAATAAAACATGTATCACCTGTGTCTCCCTTATTTCACCTGCAGGCAGTAACACAGGGATCGGGAAGGAGACGGCCATAGATCTGGCTAAAAGAGGAGCTCGAGTAGTTCTGGCCTGTCGCAGTAAACAGAGAGGAGAGGCTGCTCTGGAGGATGTCAAGAAGGTGAGCAGAAAAATAATTGACCTCAGGATTTACAGCTACGTCCCAACAAGGAGAATGTTTTCTATGCTTCACTGACGATACTTGGCATGTAATTGGACTTGAGCTTGTATTGCGCTTTTCTAGTCTTCGGACTACTCAAAGTGCTTTTACACCGCATGTCACACCTACACATTCACACACTGATGGTAGAGGCAAGAAACTGGTGAAAAAATGTTGCTGCAGGAGTTGGTGATCGAATCCCCGACCTTCCGGTTGAGAGGCGACCGACTCTACCAAATTATTTTTTTCACGAATGTACCAATTTTATTTTCATGAATGTACCAATGTCAGGAAGAAACATATACCAGTGCTTCTTTTTTTCATATTTAGTCTGTCTGTAAAAATAAAATGTCCACTATCTCTTGCAGGCGAGCGGCAGCAATCAGGTGGTGTTCATGCAGTTGGATCTCGGGAGTCTGAAGTCAGTTCGCAGTTTTGCTGAAACCTTCCTGAAGTCTGAGTCCAGACTGGACCTCCTCATCAACAATGCAGGTGGGGCGGGTCACTTTAACTTTCTGGGGCTGTGTGTCACTTTGTTATAGTTGATCACTTGCCGTAAAGTTATGTATTTGAGTTGGAGGACTGTGGGATGTATGACTAAATTTTTTTTTTTTAAATACTAAAAATAGATCCCAATGGATTAAAAAAATGAAATTGTTCTGGGTTGAAGATCACATCGACCCTCGTCGTGACTCAATAGTGTGGAGAAATGATTTTGCTCTTTGTGTTGCTTTGTCTAGAAACAAGATTAATGTTTCTTCATATTCTTGTCACAGGGATTTACATGCAGGGTCGGACTGAAGACGGATTTGGGATGATGTTTGGGGTCAATCACATCGGTCACTTCCTCTTAACTAACCTGCTGCTGGAGTGTCTGAAGGCGTCGGGGCCCAGCAGGGTGGTCAACCTGTCGTCCGTGGGTCATAACTTTGGGAATGTGGACTTTGACTGCCTGAACAAGCACAAAGCTCTGGGACTGGGAACGTCGTTCATGCAGGTGCTTCAGGTTTACTCCGACAGCAAGCTGTGCAACGTCCTCTTCAACCACGAGCTCGCCAAGAGGCTGCAGGGGACTAAGGTCACGTGCTACTCCCTCCATCCAGGTGAGTGGATCATGGATCTATGTCAGTGTTTTCCTAATGACAATATTTCAGGGCTTCCCAAAACACTTAATTTGTTGTTTTTCAGGAGCGATCAACTCTGACCTGGCAAGAAACATGGGCTCTCTTACTCATCTCATCTTGAAGCCCATCACTATGTTCTTCTTCAAGAACACGGTCCAGGGAGCCCAGACCACCCTGCACTGCGCTCTGCAAGAGGGAATCGAACATCTGAGCGGGCGTTACTTCTCCAACTGCACCGTGAGGGAAGTGTACGCCAAAGCGAAGGACGACGCTGCATCCAAGAAGCTGTGGGAGCTCAGCGAGAGGATGTGTGGGCTCGCTTAGAGAGCTGTTAACAGCCTGCAATTAAAACAAATCACGCATTCTTGATATTAACTATTGGAAGATATCTGAATTGAGCCGAGACATTTTATGAACAAGTGAGCTGATCAGGAGAGTTTCAGTTGGGTGAGCACTTTACTGCCACTCCTCTGTGCTGATAAAACAAAGAGAGACCATCACAACTAGCAGGACAGTCCATTTTTTACAGCACATATTAATTAATAACCCTGTTTTTATAAGAGCTGTTGTAAATGTAAAACATTCCCAAATAATAAACAGATGTATTAATGCTTTGTATGTTGAATTATTCATGACTAATATCAATAAAACAATCACTTTACTGTCTGTGCATGGGCCTTTTTTTATAGGGTTGGGTTCCTGCATAAACACAATTAAATCTTTTTAACTATGCTCATTGTTTGACTTGAACGGTTTCTTGATTCACCAGTTTCACTGGGCAGGCTTTGTTTGAAGAAGGTGTGGTCAGGTAT